CCGAAGAATTACAGAAAAAGTTCACCAGCAGATCGATCGATTACAGATCAAATCTCGTCGGCATGTTTAAAAGAACTTCTTTTGTATCCAAATAAGGATATCATATCCTATTCCGAGCCGTACAAAAATCGTTTAGGGAAATCTTACGCGTTTTCAATTTTTCCTTCCTTTATCCTTTACAATTTACGTCGAATTCTTTTTGAAAGGAACAAAGAGGCACGATTTAGATCGAGTCACACACTTTTGGGGAGCTTACGTGTATCACAAATAGGGTGTAATCTTTTGTATATAGGTGCTTAGTAAGTGCATGAAAGACCATAAAGTTGCTTGTGAGAAAACACATGGTTTGTTTGCGCCTCTTTATTTAAATGAGTGAGATTTAAACCACACACTTTCTTGATTAATATTAATAATCCTTAGGTACCTCTGATAAGGCAAGCTCATAAGAATTCGAAGTACCATTGTTCTGAGTCTTCATTAGAAAACATTACGTGTGTGATTTTACTTAAAGGGAGCCCATTAAGTGACGGAGAAAATTGCAAACAATGAACGCTCGCGATAATTTGGTTAAATACGGAATTCAAAGGAATCCTTTTAGGTTGAAAATGTTAAACTTTGAGAGCATATAAAGGAGTCATTAGCAAACAAATAGCTGGCACCGAAAACAAAAAACAAACAAAGTATAGTAAAATTTTGGGGTTTGAGTCGCACTGCACATGTGTTTCGTGTTGTTCTGCGTTGTAATAAAAACACCCAACAAGCCATGTTGGAGGCAATTCTATTTAGCAGTAAAATCATTGCTTCTTTAATTAAGTATATGTCCAAATGAGGAAAGCTGTCAACAAATAACATATCGTAACAACATGTAAATACATATACATACATCTGACAGGGTTACACACCAGGAGAAAATGATCCATTCCATGAGCTGAATTTGGTTAAGTCAACAATCGGACCAAGTGACTCATCCAGCCGCACTTGATCCCAATTTCTGGGCCTCGAAGAGATTGAGGGCATTTCTATTCCACCTGAGTGCGATGCTAGCCCATAGTTACTTACCCCTAGCATTTTGCCATGAAATTCCGACAGCAGTTTTGCTGTATATAATGTTTAAAATAATCATCATCAATGTTCACCTATCTAAGGATATGTTTTATACAACGGAAAACTTGATGTAGGCAAAACAGACAAATGATCACCACATTGAATATCGTGGTTTTGGTCTCCCGTACTCTCTCCCGTCCCATCCCTCCTCTTTGTTGGTGTTGATACATTTGATTGCCCTTTTCCCTCTTCATAAGCAATACTACACATATTAACGACAATTCTTTACAATTGTCTTTACAATTTATCGAATATACAGAGTTAAAGAACGGTACACGTTGAATCCCTTTTGGCAAGATAAGCTTGGTAACTCTTAACTATAAGTTTATTTGTTTCGCCTTTAAGAAGATAGCTCAGTACATGCTTTCAATAGCCAGCATATTCCGTAATACAAAATGAAAAGCAATCAAACTTGGATTGCTTTTGAAAATTGAATCTAAAGAAATTGGAGAAAAAAAATTGTGCCATTTGCAACAATTACGAGAATAAGAAATTCATATCTGTCATTTTTTCCTTCCAATTACTATCTTATCTCACTGTCGCTATTGATTCAACTGCCTTCAGTCAAACAGTATATCAGTTTATTTTTTTTCAGTGCCACTTTTACTTCCTCCATAACACGGAAACAATAATTCTTGGTTTACAGAATTAATATCATGAAGGCCTAAATTTCTTTTCACCAAATCTCGATATTTATCGCAAAGGCTATGAAATTATTTTAGTCTGATTAATTTCCTCGATTATCAAGCAATATCTTTTAATTTTAAGATACGTTTATTTTAATGAGATCTCAAAGGATAAAAAATGGTGGTGTAACTGTCATATATCATTCTCATTTTCGAAAACCTTTTGAAATCCAAGTTTCTTAAATATAAAGGCAGACGAGAATTGTATCCGTTAAGTTCCAACCAAACAGTGTTTTTTTTTCCCTTTTGTTAATTTAGCTCGAGAAAAGAATGAACTCGTCCAGGATTTGTGAAGCATTCAGTTTTTTTTCTGTTTACAATACGAAATGAAGCCTCCCGCACTAACTTATAAAACATTCGCTAACATTGATTGAGTGGCAAAGCTTCGCGGAAGCGTCCAAGATCCATTTTTTCCGGTAAAGTAATTAAAACTAGTAATATTTCATTTGTCGCTTTTAACGCTCAAAGTTTATAAATAACTTGCGTTATTACAATCACACGTTTGAGACGCTATATAACTAGCCTACAGCTCGCGAAAAAGGGTAAATTAATACGTCTTCGCTCTATCTCACTCCTGACCTCTCGAAAGGTAAGTGTTAAAGCAAGTTTGTTAGAAGTGTACGAACGGAGAGTTGATACGCGTAGTCTTTATGAAGCGAGTTAACTTTCACATAAACAAGCTTTTAGAAGTGTGCTTTAACCAACGATAGAATCAGTTAGTTCAGCTGAGAAGTGTTTTATCGCAGCGTTATTAATTTAATTCACAATGGGATTTGATGGTCAGAATGAAAAAAAGAAAATCTTTAAATTTTTCATAAAATAACTGTCATATATATATTCACCTCATCTCTGTGGCTCTAGGCCACAAAGATAAGGTGAAAAAATGATTAATAACAGCTCAAATTGGAGGATAATGAAAAAATAACAAAAAAGAAGAAGAAAAGAAAAATTACAAGTTATTTTATTTGGTCATAATCTATATCCAAATATTTTTTTTTAAGGTCTTGATATTACCATGACATTTTATTTTGCATAATACGTATCAGGCAAAAATATCTTGTACTAAGGTTAAATAACGAAAAGCTCAAAGAAAGTAAAGAGCTTAATTTTTTCACTGAATAATGCTCCTTTGAAAAATTTTCAAATTTCTCTTCTTACACCATAATCCTATGGCTGTAATATGCCAGTCATAATATTAATGATTGACAAATTGCAGCAAGGTACACTGCTATGACGCGATAAGACGTATTTGATTCATAAAATTGGCTATCACTTCTTGGACGAAGTGTAAATTTGGTATAAGCCTTGGAGAGTCATCTGAACCCTGGAGCACCTTTTTTATGCTATTTTGATTCATACTATTAATATGAGCCACGCAGGCTAAGCTATTACACATTTCGATATTTGTTTTCTTTGCCAAAATAGATGTTGCAAGTACTTCGATTGACAGTTCTTCGCTGTGTGAAAATATATAGTTGTTCATGTGAAGATATCTCAGAATCACCGAAACCTAAGAAGGAGCCGTAAAATTGTGTGCTGTTAACTATACATGTATATGTAATTTAGCTCAGCTAAAAAAAGACAAAACAGCGGAAGTTTTAGGACTAAGTTTACGCAGAGAAAAATTTTAAATTACCATTAAAATGTATCCAAAACCATATGGCGGCCTGTTTACATTTTGGTTGTCTGGAGCTGAACTTTTTCATAAATCCATCTTTTTCGGTAAAACAAAGACAAGTAAACGAACGAGTCAAGGATTATTTCTCCATTGCTTATATTGAATTTCTACTAAACGCCGCGATTTTAAACGATGTATACCGTTTCACGATGTCAATTTGATCCAGGAACTAGTACAATTGATTCATATCAGTGGTCCTTTGCCAATGAATGTAATTGCTTAGAATATATGTGAAATTTGTGGTGAAAATTTGTTTGAATATTGTGGGAAATTTCATTTCCACAATTCATTAATTTCTTCGAATATATGTGATGATGAAATGCAAATGACTTTTTTCAAGTGTATCTCCAAAAAACTGAGTGAGCCATCTAACGACAGAGAGGTAGAACTGCGTGAATACACTCCTCTCTTTGCTACTTTATCCTTATACTTTTAATCGTTATACAGTAAGGTACATACCGGCTCTGTGATTGGTGAGAGCCAATGATAGTATCAAAGATCATTCGGAGCGCGGCACGGCTCACGTCGTACAAAAGTTGTTGTCCTTGCTTCGTCCAACATGGTGAACAGTTTTTAATTGTTTATAATACTTTGGCAGATTTAAAGGGCATGTAAACCCAAAAAACGTTCATTTTCTTTTCACATAGATGTTTAGTAAATATATCAAGTACACCAAAGGTACCATTCGTTTATTCTCAAAAGTCCATTTTCACTTTGTAAAAGCTCTTCCAAATTCGAAACATTCGCCATCTTGAATGGCGCCATCTTTCCTGTGACGTCACGGGTGGACCCTCCAAAGTCTCGTTTTATAATCGCGTGAGGCACGAAGGAGTCTTTTCTACAGCCGTTGTTTGCTGGTCTCGTCATGATTTTTTTACTTACATTTTGCTTCAATATATTCAATTTTTTCGTAATGGTAAAGCGTTGTGTCGTCCAGTTTTGTACTGATTCAAACAAAACTGGGCATACAATGCAAATATTTCCAAATGACGCAAATTTGAAGCGACAATTTGTGAAATTTGTTCAAGTGAAATAGCCGATTTCGTCGAGCCGTTCGAACGTTCTGTTGTTTGTAGCAGTCATTTTTCTTCCTGATGCTGTACCGACGATTCAGGCCTCACCAGAAGCAAATTATTCGGAAGTATAAAAACGACCCATACAGTCGGCAGACGACGAGGATTCGAAAGTGGCCGACCGAACTGAGAAAGAAGTTGAGCTCTTCAAAAGTTAGAGGTCAACAGAGAAAGTACAAAATCGATTTACACGAAAACGTTTCGTTAATTAAACAACAAAAGCTATTGGTTCTCTAAAAACATCTTTTTTCTCATTTAATGAAAGATTATAGGGAAGCCAGTTGTTCGGGAGCCAGCGCTGAGCCCGTAAAAGACACTGACATGTCTGAACCTTCGCCTGAATTCGAAACACGTATCAAAGAAAGAGAATTCGTTGATATCAGTGTGTAATAACGTGATCCGGAATTTTGTCGGTTCGATACAAAGAATTCTATGCAGGATCCCATAATCAACCCTTATGTTCTATAAGAAAATCCAAGCCAGCCCCGCTTGGTGCTTCCTTTGAGAAACCCTGCAGAGAAACAGCAGAAGAATTTGTGTCACGGTTTTCACAGCAGTGAAAATACATTCAAAGGTCAGTAGGACAAAATTCATCATTTTGAGTACAACTTAAAAGATCCTGATTTCAGCTTGCAAAACTATCTTTTCAATATTTCAAATCGAAGCAAACACAAACAGGGTGGGATAATTATGAAGGCCACAAAAGGAAATGTACATGATACAACTTGTTTATCGATGGAAATGCTTCTGAGATGAAGGATATTGTTTACCGCACAAGATAGCACAGCGACCCTAAAGTGTTTGCCGAGATATCCCCAACACCAACGAACAAGCTATCTGTAGGCAATTTAGCGAAATTTCCTGCCAGGAAAGAAGCGAAAAACAACTAGCTCTAGTACTGTATTATTAAATCAATGGCAGAAACAACTCAAGTAAATCGATCTCAAAATGTAACAAAACAGATGAAACAGAAAATATTAGCTTAGTCGTTTCCGGTGTGATTATCTGTGCTTTGCTGCTGCCTGTACGCGTAATTGGCCGTCTCCAGCACCCAGAAATCAAGGCAAATTGACTGAAAACCTGGATGCTCAGTGATACAACTTATCTGGGTTTCAGGCCATTTTGCCACAATTGCCCGATTTCCGTACAACAATCACTTTCATGAGTTGTCGGCATTGGTTGACAAGTTCCACACTCGCACCTTTGATAATTTTATATAAAACACTCTCAGAAGCTCAAGTTTAAAAAAATTCGTTGGATTCCTTTTGATTGTACCCTCGCTTTATTGCATTTTCATGTTAAATACAAATAAATCACAAAGTAAATTAAATACCAGTCTGAGTTTCCGAGACGGTCGCATCGCTGTCGACATGTTCTGTACTGTCTTCGTGCGGATCGCTTCGGTGAACCCTACGCGGCTCATATTGTTAAGGACGTGGCCCAGACTCTCCTGAAGATTCTGGATTATCCCCAGCGCTGTCATTTACTAAGCTTAAGACATTCGAGTCGTTATCTTCTGAAAAAACATCTTCAGAACTACCGCTACTTACACGAACTCCCATACCAGTTCTACTGGGGAATATGTGTTGCGCAATATTTTGGTTCCACCGCTTACGTCACGACTTCTCGCTATTGTTTTTACCGGAAATGGAATTTCAGTTGAAAATGCCGATTTTCTCCTAAAATAAGTCGAATTGGACAAAACTAATTTCAAATTCGTTTTCTACGCCACTTTTTACATAGTATAAGAAAAACATGTATTTTTGGGTTTACATGCCCTTTAAGGCTTGATGTGAGAAAATCAGTGACACCACATCTTGATAATAACGTATGACAATTAAGAGACCATCGGCTGAATGAAATTTTCATTTTCATAATATAAAGTCCCCCAGCCTCTCTATCAATAACCACGTCGAAAACGATAGGCCCATAGAGGCCACTTAGAAAATCTTTAAGTCAACGATAGCTTTCATCGGCATAAGAAGTGATCATCTGTACAAATTAATTTACTTCTCCGCCTAATTTCGTTAATTCATAACTGCTCGATCCCCATTTTAATTTTAGGCAGGCCCTAAAGCAATTTTAAGACAGGTATAACCTGATCCAAGAACTTTGAGTGATATGAAAAATCTTAATGAAATATAATCAAATGCATAGTATGTCCCACTTATACTAGGAAATGTCACGTCGTGAGGCATCAAGAATGCACAATTAGAATGTTATTAAAAAAAAATTTTAGTGGAAAAAAACCGTTAAAAACACAAAACTAATGTGCTTTGTTCTTATAAAGGGTTGATCTAAATATGCGAAACAAAACAAAATCCTCAAACTAGAATATTGTGAAAACTCGAGCTCGGCAATTTGTGCTTTTTTTTGACACTCGGTGTTATTGAAAACGGACGTTTGAGCGCTGAAGCGAACTTCGCGCAGAAAAAAAATTATTTTGCAATATTTGAAAAAACCGAGGCGGTTTCGATTACTTTTACACAAGGAAAGATTCCTGGGATCATCGATTTTTCGACCCGAAACGCACCGGATCGCTCTGAGAGAGACAGCGTCTGGATACACTGGATAGCGATGAACCCGTTAGATAGATAGCGTTATCGGCCCTCTGAACAACTGGATCCTGGTAGACAATACTGCATTATACATATGAAAACAAAAACAATGTCACGGAAACGGATGACTTACACCCACACAAAGACCAAACATTTGTTTCAAGCCTTTCTGTTCACTAAACGATGATCATTTAATAACCACCCCCAAGGATGCTCCATAGCAAATTCTAGTTTTTTCCATATTTCGTTTCCTGTGAGACTGACCGAGACGGAAATTGGAATTTCGGCAATGATATCATTTAGTCATCATTTTAACTGGTTGTGACTTTGTAAACAGTCACCTCGCGACCTGCAATTTCAATTTTTTTTTTGTTTTTTTGTGGGACATTGACTAGTTTTGCAGTTTAAAATTTCCAACCTCTGTATCTCAAAAATACCATGACTCCATAACAAAACATTAAAGGAGCACACAGGACTGTGAAATCTTATTGGCTAACATCTGATCATGAGATGTATGAGATGTTGCATGATCTTACGTACGTATAGTTCTAAAATGCGGAAACACCTGGGTGACAGGCCTGCGCGCAAAAAAAAGGTATGTGACCGCATAAGGAAGGCTTATCATGAACGGGGTGACGTTCGAGTGGGTCGTAGTTGAATTACTTGCGTCCCTGTTTCTGTTGTACAACTCAGTGAACTTTTAACCTCTCTGATAAACATCATAATGAAGTGTGAACGTGTCATCATCTCACGCCCACAAATCAATATGTTAACAGCAGCGACAAAGAACTGAGGTTGTATTAAAAATACCGCTAGTTTCTGATTTTATTCGAGTAACTTCGAAAGTCATAAGAAACTCTATCATAAGAAACTCTATCGATTAAGAACCGACTGGCTCGACCTATGGCGGTCATTAAACTCTTTATAGCTTACTATGGTATGTAAGCCTTAAAATAAATTTGATCGAGCCGTAAGCAACCAAGAAGGATCAAGGGCACTCTGTGATCATTCGATCTTCTTAGGACCAAAAAAAACATTATGTTTGAAAATAATTCTCTCTGTGATACTGATATTGACAAAAGGGCTGTTCTCACTTGCGAAGAGAATGCCGCATTTTAAAATTTAGGTTGCCATTTATTCAGAACTTGATGATTATTAAAGATACTTAAAGTGGCGACTGTACCATAGACCAATATTGGAAAGTCCAAACAAACTTGCGTAAATCAATTTTTAAAAAGGATTACGAAAAACAACTTTCATAATAGGCTAGGGAATGACAAACTCTAAATAACAATATCTGATATTTTGGATTGTCACTTTCCCTTATTTTTATGGATGTTTGGTAATAATTTGCAGTTTGGTCACGAGGATATGGAATATTATAAAGGCTTGTTGTCCACATTCAGTTGAAGAGATTATATAATCATTTGCATTAGAGGTGGAGGATGAGGGAACCTCGTTCAAGTCAATAAATTCGATTACAGCCAGACACATGCTGTCTAGCTGCGTCGCAAATTTTAAGAACACTTCAGCTGACACTTGAAAAAGTTAACATGTAACAATGACCAAGCACGAAATTTCATCCTCTTACCAAAGTCAATATTAAAATATTCGATCGTGTTGCATGTTACAGCAAAGGTACAACGTGCTATTTCGAACAAAAATATTTTCCTTTACAAATGTGGTTTATTTTACTAGGTTTTCATGTTTCATTCGTCTTATAAATGGCAAACTAGACTACAACTAAATGTAAATGCAAATAATTTACTTATTGATAGGTATTCACTAGAAGTATTAACTTCGATTCGTCTATCAGGAAAATTAAACTACACAAATGCAAAGACGTTGGGAGGTTACATTAACTAAATTGAGAACACCACTAGACTTGCACGTCTAATTGATATAGGTCCAAGCCCGAAAGGTAAACTTAAATTGGTTTCCTGCTTTTCATTCTTGCCATGTCATAGAAATAATTTTGAATTATTCTCACAAACAAAAATTCATTATAGCCGCATGTTGAGTTTCCCAGGCTGATATTGACGAATCACCTTTTCAAAAATGAAACTATATCGTTATAATTGACCTGCCTGATGATCGATTTCACAAGGGATGGTGAAATACGTGTCAATTTTAATTGATTTGAAGGTTGCCAAAGTTTTCTAAATGCCTTCTTCCCTCTCCTTTACACACTTTTATGAAATTTTTCTCTCATTTTTTCTTCTTAAGCTTGGTAAGATATCACCGAAAGGTACTCACTCATCGCTGGTCAAATTTGCATTAAACTATTGGAAGAAAGTAAAAACATCATAACAAACTCACATTGAAAATATTGGTCATTGTAACCTAATAATGCTGCCTTTACAAAAATCGCTTCCTTTGAGACACACTTGAGTCTATTTTCGGCCTCATTTCATTGTTTTGACTTTCTTTGACGCACTTTCCGATCATGTTTCCTTTCACCTCAAACTTGCGGTTTCGTGCGCATTCAATTTTCTAGTGTTAACCGGGGGAAGGAATTGTTCTTTTGACTGACAGCAAGATTTAGATTAAGAGAACAAAGGAGCTTAGTTAAAATGAAATATAATGAGCTACTGCTTCTATCGTAAGTTCTATTGGATGTGTGCTTCATACTCATTTCGTCTCTGAATTTTTCTGTTCTCGTGGTGGATGTTTGCAGTTTTCTACATCATCGTTCAGCCAAATCATGGCAAGGAAAATGATAGTGATTGTCTGCCTCCTTTTGGCTTTTTCAATCGAAGAACTGATGGCGAGGAACATGTTCAGAGATTACAGCGAAATGGTAAGTACTGCAAACGCTAGAATGTTTTTGGTAACCGTCTCGAGTTTATTCCGTGGAAGCTTTAGTCACAAAGATTTAAGAAAAAAAAGGCTCATTTCTCTGTTAAAAATTGCGGTTCTTTCTTTCTGAAATGAAACATTTTAACTTTGCGAATGTAAACGATGGGACGGAAAACATAATACCAAACATTAATTATTTGGAAAATTAGGCGAAAGATTTTCTCAGCAGCTAAAGAATGAATTTATTGGACTTGTAAATTTATGTAACCGGGTCGAGCTAATACAGGGAACAACTACAAACTGCGAAGTAGTCAAAAATAGTACAGACAACTTAAGATCAGGAACTAAAAGTAAGTGTTAGCTGCATGAACGATACTCACTGGACTAGACTTAGACTTATAGGTGACTGGATCCCAGCAAGTCTTCTTACAGCTCAAACAAACTAATTCGGGAATAGAACAGGCATTAGGGCTGATGCTTCTGCCTTTAGGCAATTTCCGCACAAAAGCACCAAGCTTAGCATGTTCGAGGGATTGATAGCGTTTTTCATCAGATTAGAGCATTACGTTTTGTTAACGCTAATCCGCTGGATAACGATTATGCGTAGGATCGTTGGATCTTTCTCGAATCATTAAATTTTCTGTTTCATCACCACTTCAAACGGGTGTTTCACATCCTGTGAAACACCCGTTTTATGCGTGTTTTTCTTCAAGTTTCGCCCTTTCCGCGTGTCCTGCTTGGCCTTCATTGTGTTTCATCGCCAATTCTAGTTGTTAAAACATTTCCTCCTAGCTCTAAACTTTTCTCATTTTCAATTGCGAACGAGAATCATGTGGTTTTCTGCAAAATAAGTTTTATCACAGACTTACAAACTTCAAACGCACTGTCGTCTCTGCTCGAAGCGGGACAAAATACAATGCATTCAAAATGAGTTGTGGCTAAGGTAAGTATCGGCTAGGATATTGCCAAAATACTTAGAAGCACGTGTAATCGAACGGATCTTGTGGCTGAGACGAAAAAACAGTTCCGACTTTCTCAACAACAAAAAACATTTCGACATTTCACCGGTATGCAGTGCGAAGAGCTAATGTTGAGTTAGGAATTCTCCAAATGTTTTAAATAATTGCTCTGCCAGTTTCATATTTTCACATACCCTGAGGTTTCGTACTTCTACGCTACATTTTCAATAGTCATATCAGTGTTTTCTCTTTAACTGGCAGAGCAGTGATAGCCACCATGGAATCTTTACAAACTTCACTCAAATCAATTCTTCCTTCTCTATGTTTCAGCGCAAGTTTGCCAAGCGAGCTTCTGGATGTGACTTGCTGGGAACGCCTTGTGCGCTCTGTGATCCGGGTGATCTGTGTGAGGGCAAACGGCTGGCCTGCTATGGTGACGTGTGTGGCATGGCTTTTTCTAGTTCATACAAAAAGAAACGAAGTGTTCCACTTACTAGGGACATCGAGCAAACTGGTTACCTTACTCAGTAACCTGGCCAAACAGAGGACCTTAACTGTAACGTCACTCAAACAGTATCTGCGTACGTATTCGGGCCTGAATATTAAGCAAACTGATAAAACCGATAATTCATTGTAAGCGCTATTTATGCATTTTGTATTTATGATAAAGGTATGCAAATGTACGTCTCAAATTTCTTAGTATCAGTAAAGAAATAAAGGAAAGTAAAGTCCTCTCAAAGTTAGTATGTCTACTATTTCCGATAGACCAGAGAATACCTTCATAAGGACTTCCTCAAGTATGACGCCCAAAAAAATAATATGCAGCGTCAATTTGGTTTTATTCCAGTTAAGTGCTTATTTAAACAATAGGACACACCCTCCATTGGTTTCCGGCGTAACAGACCACGCAAAATGTTACAAGAACGCGAGGAGAGGTTTCAATGGCCACTGAACTGAATGGCGTGTTTGCTCATATCTTTATTTGGTCATGCATATAAAACGTGAAGCAATTTCCATAACTTCTGGACAATTCTCACTTCTGAAAATATTTCTGATCAAAGGGACAAAAAAAAAACAATTCTAAAGCTCGTCGCGTGGCCGGTTCTTACTGATTTTCCCCTTAAAAAGTCTTTGAAAAGATCTACACTTCCATTTTGCACTGTTGATTTGTTCGGGCAGTAGAGCCACGTCATAAACTTGCATGCATGATATACGACCACGAAAGTTAAGTTCATCCTCAATACTCACTCCCATTCTTACAGAATAATTATTGTCCAACGTAATATCGCCAATAAATCTAACATCCTCTAGTTTTCCATTCATCCATAAACTTGTCCGTCCAGTATTCTGACGTTAAATTGCATCGACGAAATTCTACTTGTTTGGTTTGTTGTGCGAGCTTTCCATAACGAGTAATTTATATGCTCCTTTTTTCCTACGAGCAACAAAACAGATAAAAAGTTTCCCAGGTCCAATCATTCAGAAGGCCACGCCCCATCCATCAGTTCTGTAGCCCAATATTAGTCCTCGATGAATTGGTAAAATCCACACCAGTAAAGAGAAGGAAGTATTTGTCTCCAATTTTCCGTCGTTTGGGAACTTGATGTAGCTGTTCGGAGTTCCCAATAACGAAAGAGAATTTTCGCTCTTATTAAAAGGTCCAGGGGCAGGGACAACATTGTTAAGTATTCCAGGTATATTTCCACCAATCACATCTCTCGCTTGATATTTGGCACTGAGTGGGTAAAGAGCAATCGGCTCAGGAAAAGGTGAACAGTTGAAGAAAGGGCATTTATTTCAACACTATAACAGAACCTCCCCTATCCGTTTTGCGTCTAAAATTTGTTCCTAAGCGACCACAGCAAGAAAGGAACATATAGATTTGCATTATTTCAGCCATAATTAATATTATTAATAATATATTTGAGAAGTTATTGAATTGTGCTAGTTGGGTTTTTCCACATCGATCTTTTCTGGGCAGCATGGGATTGTAGAATGGTTTTTTTTACTGTTGTTGTCTTTACCCAATGTGGTAAGGGGGCTCCTCGGTAGTATGGCGGTGAGTGTCTCCGCCTGTCACGGGGGAAATCGGGGTTCGATTCCCCGCCGGGAGAAGTATAAAGTAAATCTTTTTTGAAATTTATACATACATTTTGATTCGAATGATAGTGTTGATTGAACACAGTAACAGCATGGACCCACAGATAGTCAGAAATATTCTGAGATAATTTATAGCAGAGCTCGCAGAGCATAGCCCCATAATTATACAAAACAGTAGTAACCCATTTTCCGAAAAAATTTGGATGTACGACCGTACGACCGTACGAACGTATGACCGTACAAGGTGCCACTTTTAACATGCGTGGTCAACTGTACCGCGGGTACGCCAACGCCACGGCTTTGTCCAGTAGTCCAGTGGTCAGTGCACTGGGCTCCGAGTCGGACAACCCGGGTTCTAGTCCTGGCCGGGGCAAGTCGTTGAGACGTGCGAGCGAGCTTGGCTAAGTCTATATATTATTCACATAATATCATACAAGAGCCAGAACATTTTGAAGAATGAGCACTGGTATATTAAAATTTAAACTTATTTAAAACCGCCACAGTTGATAAACCTAGAAGAGGAAGAGGCAAAAATATGTTTTATAGCACCGTTTACTCTGGTCGCAACTGCCCTAAACGAAAAGGAGAAGAAAAATGCGCCCGTGACCCTCAGATTTTAAGTCTGATGCTTTGCCGACTGAGCTGACCAGGTTCACAGACACAAATGGCGGAATGACCGGTACCAATTCCATTCTTTTTTAATTTTCCGAAAGTTTGCTGGAAGCTATAGTTGTTTAATCACCGAAACTTTGTCTCCAAAAACCTGTAAAACGCTGTGTATGGCCTTGACCTTCGATAAAGAACGCTTGTGAACAGTTTGAAACCTCAGTCAATAATTAACATTATAGATTCAAAACAATGCAGGCTCGGACAATAACCTGTTCTAATGGCAAGTTAGTTATACATAACATGTCGGATTTGAATGGATACAAACCTGATAAGGACACGAGTTATGATGAAATTTAAATTAAAATTTGTTTATTATGAAATCGACACGCGTCATGGAAAGAAATGGTGTAATTACAGGGAAGAATCTTGTAAACATAGGCTACTTTTCTTTTCATTTCGAACTAATCATCCACGAACTTCATAAAATTTTTAACTCAGACCTCCTAATCCCCTTGTTAAGAATGATAAATGAGTGTACCCTGCAGTTAGCCTTTATATAATTTTATTAGGTGAATATAAGAGCGATCTTCGCACTAATGAATGTTACTTAAGCAGCGGTGGAAATAAGGCCTGAAAAAAGTCCCGTACAGGACTGAATTTTTTTTCAGGCCCTATTTGTTAAAGTGGTGTTCATTACTGCGAAGATCACTCTCACATTCACTTCTTCATCCACAGTAATCATAGATTACTTTCGTATATTCACAGTCATGATTTTTTATTAGTTAGCTAAAAAACCATTCTAACTGTGGCCCGCCTTTTGTTAGTGGCAAAGAAAGCTGTAAGAAAGTAATACTAGCAAGATTCAAAACAACAGGAATCAAAAAATAACTTGTCAAATGTTTCAAACTTATACCCCCAATGAATGAACTGGCTTTCCATAACAGCAACACCTATGTTGCCGGTTATCATATTTGTGCTTCATAAACGTTGAGTTATACCTGCAGTGTCAACTCTAGACGTAAATTGTTTGTCTGCAATTTTTTTTTCGGGCAAAACTGTTGAATTCTGAATAAACCGACGTAAGTCAGAACCGATCGGGGTCAGTGGGAAAAGGTCAAATCCAAAGAAAAAGTTTTTTTTTTTTTTACTTTATTTTGAAATAGTCTCCACAATCGCGAACTGAGAGTATCAAACACTTCAACAATTGTTCCACATTTTTTTTTCTCGTTTAGCATTTCGATCTTGTGAACATGGCTGACCTGTTAAGTGCCGTACCAAACTTTAAAATTCAATTAAAATTGTTTATCATAATTTGACGGGTGTATTAAGCCTTTAGGAGCAATCGTTGGTTTAGAAATGTCAAAACAGCTTATTTAGGCTGGTTGCGAACCGGCGGTTTATTGTATCATAGCGTGGTCAGTGGAAAATTGTAGGCAGGACTAAACAAAAAAAATAGAACGTTCTGAATTTCGAGTACTATCTCGAGAAATTTTTAATCATCTTAGAGGACCATGTTAACTTATTTGCACCTCGCGATTCTGCTTCTATTTAGAGCTATTTCCGGTTACAGCTTTGAAAAGGCGAAAACGTATGAAAAGCGGAACCATTATTTCCTCAATGGTTCCTCGCAGAGCTCTGACAGTGTTCAAGGCGAAGTGACTCAATATTTGAAAAAGCATCCTCGGGATTCAAGACTGATCAAACATAACTACTTCTTCCTTGATGGTCAGCCTGCAAGGCCTCCTGGGTGTCTGCCATGCCGTAAGTCTTGGCCTTTTTGCATTGTATGACGCTTTCCACAGTCCCATTTAGTCTGGTAAAGGATGGTTTCGTAGCCTCTTTAGTTAGTAGTGAACTACTAATCGACAGACCGACTGATTGAACGCTGACTAGCCCCGGCATCTGACTGACCGACCTACCGACATATGGATCGGTCGACTCCACGACCGTCTGTCTGTCTGTCTGATCGATTGACTGACTGGCTGATTGATCGATTAATCGATTAATTGATCGATTGATTAATTAATGCGATATTTTTCATTTGCAGCATTGCTGAGAAAGCCTGGTCCATGTAAGTAGAAATAGCTTGTTATTAAGTTATTATTAGAGCTTATTTGACTTAAATCGCTTCTCACGCTTTGCCGATACAATTCTTTTTGCAGTTTGTCATGCTCACATGGACTTAGGATTTGTGATTGAGGCATCGGCCAGCGTGGAAAAACACGGAAAAGGAAACTTCAAAAAGATTCTCGACTTTGTAGAAATTACAATCAGGAAATTTTCAATTTCAAGACGAAAGACACGAGTTGGCGTGGTCACATACGGCGTCAAAACTGATCTGGTTTTTGATTTTGAAAGGTGTTCCCTTGTTTTCTTCTCTGCTTGATGAATGTACATGACTTTTATCCGTTCTTTAGCTCATATTTTCATTTAGGCTATCTTGATAATTACTACTCAAATGTAATGCAAAAATCGCAATTGAAAGATGACCCTTGAGATATCACTAAGATAACATTCATACAAATTGTGGCCAGAAGTGAAAATGGGTGAAGAGATGTCCAAATGTGAACTTAAATATTATTAATGATTGTTGATAACGAGGGAACTCAGTTGCCTCAAATGTCCGTCCGATGCCAGACTAGACTACCCCAGAATCCTTAAGTGGATCTACTGGAAAATCTATCCTTCCTTCCTCTACTAAGGCTTCCTAAACTCTGAGTATAAATAAAAAGATCGTCCCTTAAACTTTCAAAGGTTTTTTGATTTCATCATTTCGCTCTATGATTATGGTAAACTTTACTTTTTCCCGCTTTTCTTTCAGCGAGCAGAAGAAATCTGTTTTGGTTCGTGCACTGAGAAAAGCCTCTACACAAAAATTAACAAGTTCAAATACTGGTTATGCACTTAGTATGGCAGATTACTATTTGTTCAACAAGAAATGCAACTCCCGCAAGGAAATCCCTAAAGTTCTTATTGTTATTACGGATGGAAGGTATCATATCAGTTTTTTTGTTCTGGACTACACATCTGGTTTTATTTTCACTACTGCTAAAGTAGTGTTAATTACTGCGAAGATCGCTTCCATATTCCCTGTTCACACTAGTTTAGTAAGCCTGTAATTTTCAAATTTTTTAAACTGTTCTCAACTTGAAAAAGCTTGAAAAAATTTTTTATCACGACCATAAGTGAGGTCTGAAATTCCGTGCTTGCATCTTGAAAGACGAAACACTAAAAGAAAACATTATGACACCACAGGTCAACTGACGACGTCACCCAACCTGCATACAAAATCAAACAATGTGGTGTACGAATCTACGGCGTGGGAGTTGGATACCACTTTAGTATCAAACAACTAGAAGCAATGTCCTCTAGGCCTGTCGGTGAAAATGTTTTCATTGGTCCGTTTAACAAGTTACAGTATATCAGAGATGATCTGGTGAAAAGTGTGTGCTATGGTGAGTGGCAAAAACACCGGATACTTAAGCCTTTCACTTCAAAGATCTGGAACTTAATCCTCCTAACTAATCACCATATATCCCTTTGTTGGCCATTCAGGACAATTTGACAAAGTGAAATATCCTTAATTGTAAGGAGACGTTGAAAGCTGATCGGTTCTTTGGGTTGAGAGTCAATAGAATTGCAGAAACACGCATGTTTTAGCGACTCCTTGAGCTGTGAATTAAAAAAAGGGTTATGTTTAACACGACACCTTTTAAATGTATTTTCTTACATAAACTTCTTAAAGCTGTTCTTTTTTTTTGTTCCACTGTATTCCTTTTCGATAAAAGTACTTGATGAAGATGAAAGAAAGACTTTATGGTCACACGTACACTTGATGTCATCTGGTGAAGTGAAGTGTTTTTACCCTTCCAATTTTCAATCTTTAATTTCTTAGCTTATAAAAATTTTAAAATTGATCAAAAAATGACGGCTCACAATTTTTTCTTTCTATCTCCTCCTTCATTTTTAAAGGTGTTGGTGGTTTCTTAAAGAAACCTGGACACAAACAGTGCCTCTGCAACAAGGGAAGGAAAAAGCCCAGTGAGTAACCATATATTAACTAAATGAAATTCCAAGAGAAGTAAGTGAATTCTTAGTCGGATCAGTTACGTAACTTTCGTTTGGGTTTGATTTTAAAATTTACCTGGTTGTCGCCGATCATGTTCCTCATTTATACAATTAAGAATTAACATCTGATCAATATCTTTGTTCGATTGATCATTTTTCGTGACAATACGTTTACGTTTTTTTGTCAAAATTGTTTTGGTATATACTTAAATAATTTTGACTTTTTTCAATTTCACAGTTTGAAACTCCAGTCAGGTAAAATCAAAGGATGATGGTGGCCCTAATGATTCTTAAAGCTCCGTTATTCAAATGAAGATGATAGCATTTTTCCGACACCCAAAGTTGTAATAAAAGTAAAATAATTACGTTTAATTTGGCGCTTTTTATTTATCGTGTTTTACCTATTAAAACAAAGTTAAAACGAAAGTTGAATATGTGAACAGAAGATGAGCTGAGATAATGTTATGAGCGATCTACGATTATAGAAAGTCTCTGGCATAACTTCTCCATAGCTTTTCACTTCGTCATGCAAGAGCGAGGAAATTACAGGCGTATAAACATTCCTAAAAACGACGCATACTGTCCAATTGAACGAACAGCTGCGAGAATGATGCATACACTGTCGTTTTCGCGCTCAAAACAAACAGCTGTTCACCAGTCTCGTTGCTATATAGAATTTGAGACAAATAAGGCAGCATGCTCGGCTTTATTAAAGTGGTTTATCATGAAACTCAAGTTACAAAATGACGTAGTGGGTGGTTGGAAGTGAATATAATTTTCGAGCTTTTATCATAGGCTTGAAGTCTCTAAGTGGAGACTTGAAAAAAAAAAAAGACATATGGACGTCATATTCAACAGCATCATAAGCATTCCGCTAGAGGGTGCATCGCGAGATGAAGACTCTTTAAATTGTCCTAGTGTAGCCTATAAGCCGTTATCAATCGATTCATGATGATAATATGAGGCAGTATGGTGGTATTAAATGGGTCTTTAAAAGTCAAGAGTCTGACTGCCTGGTCTTCTTTAAACTTTTAACCAATTAAAATACATAAATTGAATTCTTAGAGCTGTACTGAAATTATGAGAAATGCAAATTGAGGAATATGTGCCTCATTTAACACGAGTCATAGCAATTTTCTACCCTCAGAAACAGGGAATTTTCAGCAGAGAGCCCATGATCCACGGTTAAATGCGTTTGAATAACGAGACATCCTTCGATTGAATACTACGATTTTGTTTAGGCGATAACTGAATCAGAAGATTCTCGAATATTCTTCCAGGAAGGGGCCAAAATTGCTCTCTTTCTTTTTACTGATAAAGAGACTTAAAACATTTCAAACGGTTACCCGCCCTTCACTCTAAACGTGTCTGCTTGTTTACGTTCACAAACACCATAACATGGGGAACAAAAGAACAAACAGTTACACCTAAGAAAACCATCGCTGACGCAAAGATGGCAGCTTGCAATTGTTTTAAGCGAGAATTTTTCGCCTTCTGTGTTGATTGTTATTTTGTAGCTTTCGTAAAAATATGGATCACCACGTTTGCAAACGTTTATTTTGCTTTTCGCAAAAAAGAAAAAAATAAATAGTTTGTTTGGACTAAACTTAGCTGGTTGTTTATCATAACCGACCTTTCGTGAGATAGTTTTGAGCAAGTACCAGGTACTGCGCGCTTAGTAGATATTGAGCGATAAATTGTGAAAAACCGCTCTTTCATAAATAAGAAGGAGGACGTCTCCTTTGTTTATACGAAATTGCTTTTTTTTTTCTCTCTCTTCCCCTGAGAGATGGATTAGGATTACGAACGGTAAGCAGTTGAGACGAGGTGAGTTTGCTTGATCTTCTGATCCTTGAGACACTAGAAATGAAAGATTCCAATAACTAAAAAGGTTTGGTTCACGAATTTCATGCAAATGTTTAGCTTTAGTTAAGATGTCCGCTGGATGCGGATATCTTCCATGAAATTTTAGAGTGATTAGACAACATTTTTATTCTCATGGTGACTAATCATAGAGATGCTTCTCCAGTTCACATCGCTTAAGAGTTTATCTTTTATTCGCACGCTCAAAGGGGAAAAAGGTTAATCTTACGATTTTGAATTAGTCGAGTTTTTAAAAATTAATCGAATGGTAATAAAATCAAAGGCTACCCTATAAAGTAATTCGATTGAAAGTAGCAATTAAGAAATGAAGATAACAAATAGGTTTCAGCGACAATTTCGTCTTGTTTTCCCCTATCGATTTTGAGTAACATCTTAATAAGATTCTTTTAACAACTTTATTGTTTTTGATAATTATATTCAGTTGCAAACTTCACTCGTTACAAGTAAGAAGTTTACTTCCACCCAAAAGCTTATTTCAATTTTTCTGAAATCTGATCAAAAGAATGAAGTTTTGATAATTCAGTTAATTTTATACCACTGATTAGGATTTGCGATATTTAGCAAAAGAGCATTCAATGATGTTCCATGTTACTTGCTGAGGTCCAAGTTATTTTTGTTGTTTCAATTTAAATCCAACCGCTTAAATTAGTGAAATAGAGAATTCTAGTTCTTGACCTGAAATAATTTTTAAAATAACCGTCTTACGGAAATGTTTCGCTGCTTGGTCATTGTGGGAAAACTATCATCTTTTTCAATTTTTACTTTAAATTCAAATGTAGCTAAGGCTATCGCAACCATGACCAGACTAAGATTTATCAAAGCTGGCCTATTCGCAGACAAAACACTATTTTTTATAACATTCTTTTCATACGAAGTCACTTAAATCGACCTAACTATTAATCCATGCTTCACAGAAAAGCATGGTAACTTTCTGGAGGCTACTGACCCTTAAAACCAGCATTTCAGTCAGAAGAAAGTTTGAAAAAAATTTACAACAAACAAGTCATACTTTAACGAAGGGGAGAAGTGTTCTCTTATTCTTGATGACCGTACTTCCAGATCAACCAAGCTTTTCTAAGCTTTTTTAACAGAATCAAAAAGTTGTTCTCTGGTTTAATAAATGAATACGGAAATCTGCTGTATTATTGCATTATTTGAAAAGATCCTGCCAAATATTTACCGACAGGCGAGGATGCTCAGCTCTTCGCTGTTAAGAGCTATCCTGTTCTTGCTAGTTGCTAGCCATGTGCCTGCCAAGAAAAATAACACATCTACCTTAAATCAAGAAAGGAAAAATGTAACGAATGAAAAACGTCAAAATATAGGTAAGTACACCACCTATAAACCCACCCATAAGCTTTTGGTAAACACCTAACACTGAGCAAATGCCTTTTCACAGTTTTTTATTTTGGCTTTTTTAAAAAATTGACCGTGAGTGATGCCAAAGGTGTAATTAAAAGCAGATACATTGTAAACCTATGAATTCATATACTTTCATTTTGAGCATATTTCATTTTCCCTCAGTGATAGGTTACTGTAATTGGTTTCTTTATCTTGCGTATTGTAAAGCATTTTATACACGACCCTCTGTCTCAGAAACGAAAAGTAATCTCATCCTACACTTTGACTGTAATAAACTGATTAACTGATAGATTGATTGATTGAAAGATACATTGATAACTTCAGCAGAACGTTGCATCACCCAAGAAATGTAGTTACGTAACAAAATCGACACTCTTTGCATAAAACATACTGTAATGGATGTTCATTTCCATACAGTTGTTACTATGCTACTTTAACGATATAGTTCTTGTCACAGCTTATAGTTATCCAAATGTTGCAATTCCCTATGGCGCGGATGGTCTCCCTTGCTGTCCAATCAACACTTTTTGTACAGGTGTGCTTTGTTTTGTTTTGTTTTGTTTTTGCCTAAAAATGAAAACTATTGCCTTAAGTTACTGTTCTTCATCGAATTATGCATCTTCCTGAGAAATAAACGAAGCAGCTCTGATAACTAAATGACATTTAATGTTAACTGTGTAACTTTATGAGTACCCGTATGTGTGAGCGCGAGATAAATTACGCCGCCTATACGGCGTAATTTGTTTATGAACCTTATAAGCATACAAATCGATGAACGACTTTCTGTTGAGGGTTACACATACCGTCTACGATTATGGGCCAAGTAACTTGAACACTTAGTTATTACTTCCATATCAAGAATTTCTTTTGGACCAAATCGGATGCAAATTGCCTCAAATTTCCCTTATTTACTCAGAGTTTTCCTCGACTCTCACTTATGACATATGCTCAACATACTTCCTTATTCCTTAAGATAACTGACATCCTTTATTTTTCCGCAGACAAACCGCCCTGTCCGCCAAGTGAGATGCCGGAGATATCCAACGCCCCTCAGCTGGATGCAGGGCTATCATTCAACATGGTACCAGGTGGTATTCAGGAGCCAACAGCCCCACCTCAACCAGCGTCAGTGTTATCTGTTCCATTTCAGGATCAACTAGCAAAGCCAACACAGCCGCAAATTCCACTGCATGCTAAACACTCTAAGAAAGATAAGGAAAAGCTGGAATTACAACCCAACAGAGATCAAGTGTATCACATCAGAGGAAGAAGTAAGAGCACATGGATGTTGTTATTGCTGTGCATGTTGTTAAGGTTTTCGACGTAATGTTTCTATTCAAGATATCTGCGATTTGTAACACGTTTTTTGGTTGGCCGAAAATTAAAACAGACTTGCCAAAATTGTACCTGTTTGAAAAAACCATTTCATTTGTGCTGTTCGAATTTTAACAGTACTTCTGAGCTGATCAAGAAAATAGTGTGGGCTAAAAGAGATACAGGGCAGCCAACACTCGTTGCTTGTTCAAAAAACAACCGGGTCCAAACTTGCACGAGACGCAGAAAAGATAACTGTACAACTCTAAACACAAACACATACACAAACAATTAAACACAATACCAACAAAGAAACTGAGACTTAATGCACCGAAAATAAAATTAGCAGAATTTGATACACAACTATGTGTTGCGTGACAGCTCGTAAAAGCTTTCCGTCGTCGAAAAAATAAGGATAAAAATTTTCTTATCATTTGTTCCTCTATTGATTTGCTTCATTTCGTAACCCAGGTTTTAAAAGTCTCGGTTGCTGGAAGGATACCTGGGACAGGGCTATTCCCTTAATGGAAAAGAAACATGCCATGCTGTTTGAACCTGATTACAAAAAGAGAACCAACGCGCTCATGAAATGTGCCGAGGCTGCACTGGACAACAGCTTTATCATTTTCTCTCTTCAAAATGGAGGGCAGTGTTTCTCAGGCAAAGATGCTGATAAGACGTTTATGAAATATGGTGTCAGTGATTCCTGCAAAGGTGAGGATAAAATTTTGCTACCGAGATAAATAAGGTAATCTGCAATTATGATAGATGCAACAAAATACCAAATTAAATCAAGATCAATTCAAATTGATTTATCTCATTCAGACCAGACTCCCATCGCCCAGCTATGCGGCAATTCAGTTATAACAGAAGAATATCAACTGATACTCTCTTGGCCATAAATCTCAGATGACATCAAGCGACTGTTCAAACCTCAAAATCATGGCACACGAGCTAAACCTATGACATTTTGACGTAAAAATGAACAGAAAGAGGGGAAAGGAGGGAGAAAAAGTACAAAATTGCCTACGAGCCCTACTTTGTTAGAGGACAGTTTTTTTTTTTTTTTTGTCGTCAACAATATTTCTGCCTTAGCTTATCTTTATTTTCCTACTAGATAGATCCTTAAAACTCTTCTAAGGCCTTGGCTTAGCAAATATAAGACCTCAGCCGAGCGTCTGTTCTCAAATAGATCAGAAACAAAGACCGATACCAAAACGTGCATTATTAGGTAATCTGTATACCATCAGAAATCCACTGAATAAACGCTTATGCTAGTTGATCGAAGTGTAGATAAAACGTAATTCCCTTGTCGTCGCTTTACTTTCATTGTTGTTTTTATTACTCCAAGAGAAAATATTGGGGGTCTTTTTAATTTCTGTTGATTTCTCTTATAATTATTAATATTATTGTTTTTATTATTATTATTATTATTATTATTATATTATTATTATTATTATTATTATTGCTATTGTCTCCATTATAAGTCTTTTTTGTTTTGTTTTTTTTTCCCTGCTGTTTGCAGATGGCATTTAACATTCATTTCTTGATGATCACTTGTCACAAGTCTTGGTCGGTCTGCCTCTGTTGTTTTCGCTAATTAGTAAACCTCTTCATTTTTCTTCCTTTAGCTGATGGAGAAGGAGGGCCTTGGGGTAATGAAGTTTACCAGTGAGTATTTTTTCCATAAAGATATCCTCACTTGTCAGTACTAACAAGGTTAGGGAGGGATTAAAAAGAAAACGTGTTAAAGCACAAAGAAAAGTCATTTTTTTTTTTTTATGCTACTCTTTGGATCTCGTCGATTTACAAAAATTCTTCTTGTTGCGATAGGTATTTGAATACCAACACTTCCATTCCTAAGAAGAGCGACGAAACAGAGGGCGGTATTTCTAAGGAAAGCATCGCTCAAGCAAATCCTACTCCCACAGCACCTCCGACAGCTGCAGTTACACAAGCGGTGCATCTAACGACTTCACCCACTGCGCACAAAGCTGAAGTGAACGATTCCTCAGAGATCAACCCCTGGGCGGAGCGGTCGAAAGAATCCATCGACAGCGCGAGAAAACCAGACTTGAAGCCTTTTAAAGATGAAGTAGAAGAAGACGCCGTTGTGGCAGAGAACGAAGCAGACAAGCAAGCTTTGCTGAAAGAAATTCCAGCAGCGAACAAAACAGAAGCAGCTGTCGACGAAGAGAGTAACGATGCCATAGATGAGGACATTCCCTCTCAAACAGAAGTTTTCAACGTGAGCCCGCCGAGACCGAAACTTGTTACGCCGTTCAGAGGAAGATGCCCAGTTTGCCGTGAGTACTGAAGCACCTGCGAGCACACCCTTGTTATGAGCGTTTGGGCACGAGTGTTTCTTTGCCTTAGGGAAAGAATGGGGCCGTCGGAAAAAAAGAGCCAGCAGAAGTTTCTGCAAAGGGCTAGCGGGAGAAAAAACGTTCGTCCTGCCATACTGCGCTAACAATAGGGGCTTGCTAACTTATTTAAGATCTATAAGTAAATGTGGTAAACTACAAGAGGAACAATTATGTGCCGTGAGTGAAGGATGATTTTTCGTTTTTCTGTTAAATTAGATTCAATAGTGGCAGATCATTTGGCAAGAATTTCTTTCATGATGTCAGTTTTTGTTTTATCCTTCTTTCGATATTTTAATTTATGAAATAACCCAGCAGAAGCAAACGATGCCTAGGATTACACGGTATACTATATGTCACATACATAGCATACGTTTCGTGCGTAACGGCTGACTGTCACGCTCGTGTCGGGCATTTTTTGCCTCTTCTGCTCTATAAACAACAATGTTCCTAAGTTTATCGACGATACGATCAACCGTTTTGTTTCGACCCAAATTTATCTCAGTATTCAAGATGTATTCTTCAAGAATAGCTCTGAAAAACTGCAGGTATTTTCGTTTGTTCATGTCGATGTTGTTGACATTGCGGATCGATTGAGCTTGTGTAACCTTTGTGAATCGTTTATTCAAGTTGTTTGATTGAATTATCTGATGGTCCGCTCGATACTTTCTTGAAATGAAATTAATATGCCATTTATTATATAGGACATCTGGTATCTGAAGGAGCGATTTTGTAAGATTATTGTGAAATTAGAATTGTTCACAATAGCGACTCGTTTGTTTCTGAACTGCCGTGCTGTGTTGTCGCGCACGTTCTAAGCATATTTTTACAATTTTGGGGTTGACATGAATTGGCTTATTCTTCAAAGTCATGTACTACAGGTTATCGAAAGTCAAACGACTAAGACCCCGTGTTTTTTTATATATATATTTTTAATTAAACTCGTTTGTCTCTCTCTCTCTCTTAAGCAAATATAGTTACGACCTTCAGTAACGCAATCTTTCAGTGTTTGTTACGCATGACGGATTAGCTTTAAAAATTTTTCCACACCAGTTTGAACGAAGTATGATAGCTTTGCTTTGTAGAAAGAAGTTAAACCTGTACATGTATTATCATTTGAATCACTGTAGATGATATGTATGCTGTTATTTCTAATCCAGATTGACACCCATGTCACGAAAAGTGTGAGAGAGAACGTCAGATTGCAGTTTACATTTTAACCACCGTGTTAATATCATTAGTTTTTTTTCCAACCTTCTCGCGTGTGTAGTGAAATGAGAAAATATAGCAAAGTCTATAATATAGGCCATTCAGCTCCAGAGGTATGAATAGCTTACGGATGTAATGAACATTGCCACAATATGTCAAGTCGTCTGTAATGATCATGCTCCTTAGTCTTGCACTGAATCTGACTCTCACCAAGTACTATTAAACTCTATTTTCTTTCAGCAACCTTAAAGCCAACAGCGCCAATGAGTAAGTAAAACAGTATTATTGTTATATCTTAGCTGACGACTCCCCCTCCCCTCCTCTCCCAAATGTAACTCATTGTAAAGTTCAGCCTGGTTTATATCACTTGTTCTTACTAATATTATTTGTATCCACATATTTTTCCATACCTGGGCAAGATCCCTTAAATTATTTTAAGATTTAATTACTAAAAAATATATATCCCTCAAAGACCCAAACTTTGTTCCTCGTTGGCAACGAAATTGAAGTTCAACAAATTATTAATTAGAAGTGGTCACATTTTATTTGAAAACGGTAGATGAATAAGCCCTAGTTTATCATTACATTTTCTCTGCCAATATGCATCAAACAATTTTATTGCTCTTTTTTCTGTTCCAACAGCATGCAGAACTGCCATAGATCTTGCATTTTTGATCGACGGCTCAGCAAGCGTGGAACGTTATGGCATCGGAAACTTCCGACGGTTGATCGACTTCGTCCGTAATGTTATCCTCGGTTTTTCAGTCTCCCGAACAAACACGCGCGTGGGAGCCATCGTGTTTGGTACCAAGCCGTATAAGCTTTTCGGCTTTAACAGCTACACAAACAACGGCGCTATCTTCAACAGGCTTAACAAGGGGGTCCATTACCCCAAATCAGGGAGTCGTATTGGTAGGGCTTTATTGATGGCGCAAAACCAGATGTTCCGTAAGAACACCAGACGTTCAAGGACCACTAAGGTAGTAGTGGTCATAACCGATGGAAGTTCAATGGATGACGTTGCAGGACCTTCAAACGCTTTAAAGGCCCGTGGTGTAAGGATTTATTGTCTAGGGGTGGGACGGTACATTAATGGTCGTCAGTTAGACATTATGGCTTCTCCTCCACGGAGGAATCACATCTTTACTGCGGACTGGACTCATTTGGGAATCGTAGTTAACGAACTCAGGAACGCAATTTGCTTAGGTGCGTAACTTTTTCTTTTTTTTTTAAATAAAATGAAATCGTATTATTTCGAATCCCTGGTACTTCAATTCCCTCTCCTAAGTGTTTACGGACTTGGATCTATGACTGTGAATATCTACAATTTCACACAGGATATGAAAATCCTTTAAATACAAAGAAATGGGCAATGAAATGATCTAAAATTGATATTAATTTCCATAGCACTTACTCGAGGTTATGTGGGTGTATAGGTGATTTTTGTGAGAAGCAGCCATTTAAGCGAAAAATCTGAACACAGAAAAGGTGTACTTTAATATGTGACTGTATCGGGCGATTTATGTAAGAAGCAGCCATTTTAACCAAAAATCTGACCACGAAAAAGTTTACTTTATTATGTCGTTTCTCTCACCTCATTCCTAGTCCACCTCGCTGCTTATCCTTAAAAATGACAACCGCTGTGGCTTGACATACTCCAAGTTATCAACCTTGTTTAAACATGCGATAGGAAGTGACTTTTAGTTTTAGTTCACGCAAGCAATCCAACTCGTCTTATTTATTTTCAGGCACTGGTGGAAATCTTTTACCAGCGAAGCATCGTGTCTGCCTCTGTCCCATCACCAGACCCCCAATAAGTAAGTGGTAACTTTAATATTTAAAATTTCGAGTGCCGCAAGTAATCCGGGCTTTTTCAATCTTTGGTTTACCACTCCGTGATTGGTATAGAAAATCCAGGCACTCTGTCGACCAACAGATGCACACTCGTCACTCGTCACTCGATCACAGATTTTCCTGCGCCGCAGGAAGTTTGTTCGTTTTTTACTCTGAATCCTCACGGACGCCTTATGATAGTAATCGTGGTTCTGTTTACTCGTTATGATTTTTTTTTAAACCATTTGAAAACAGAGGCTGGGCCGCTCGATTCGGCATACCGCAATATTGGTTTTTGAAATTAAAGTGGACTGGACTCAAAACACAAGAAAATGCAGAAAAGCGACGAGTTAGTCATGTGTATGGTGAAAGTGTAGTTTTGTGTTAAAGTGACCCGTTCTCGTACCATCTTTCTTTTGCTTTCAGAACCGACCACAAAGCCAACTAAAAGAACACGTAAGTGCAGTTTTTCCGGTTATGGAAACTCAGTGTTAAAGGTTTAAATGAGATGCGCGGGAAAATGTATTTTGTAACGGTGTCTTAACCAAGGGACGCGATCTACAAACGCTATATAATTAAGTGTTAGTTAAGTTGTTTTCACATAATTTGTCGCCCAAAGTTTAAAAAAATCTTTAAACAAATCTTGTACCTATAAGTCAGGAACTGCATTCACGTTCATGCGATTCCCATTACTAATCAAAGAATTTTAATTCGTAAGGCTTACAGCTTGCAAACGCACTGAAATTTTAAATGCATTCCTTTCGACATTACCCAGTTCTTTCAGGTCCGGAAATGTCTTGCTCCTTATAGCACACGAGAATCTTCAATATAGTAACTATGAAATTTACGGCAAAAGGGTCTCTTCATGATGTATACCATGCAACAAAAATAAACTGTTCATTTTAATAATTATGCTACGATTGTATAATGTTTTTATTTATCGAATTTGTTTCAAATTTTCAGGGTTCCCCCGTATCGTTGCGTTTTACCCACTCAGTAGAAAAACAAGAGGTAAAGACATCAGCTCTAGCCAGAACCCCGAGGGAAAGTTACACAACGTACGTCCCGCACCTGGCCCTGATGGGCTGCCTGATGGTTCCTACTATTTCTACGGAAGAAAAACCAGTTATATAGATTTCCCCAACAAGGGAAAACTCGATTCTAGATACTCCCTGACTCTCCTCGCCTGGGTATACCCTGAAGGTTCTGGACCAATATTTCATTTTTCTCCGGGAGGAGTTCGCTTCTGGGTCGTGAGACCGAATACTCTGTTCGTGCGATTTGTCCGCCGCACAGGGAGACCAACCCGGCAGTTGATCAGTCGCACATTGAGACCTGGAAGGTGGAATTACGTTGGAGCGTCGTATGACGAAAGGACAGGAATTGCAACGCTATGGCGAGACTCTCAACCTGTTAAGTCTCTGTTCATTGGTCGCATTCGTCTAGCTACCAATCGACCCGTAAGGATGGGTGCATTGCCGCGTGACTTGCGGTACTTCCGTGGAAGGATCTCTTGTATGCAAGTGTACAGTGTACCCTTGTCTGGTCCTGAAATAAAAAGAGCTGAAAGGGTTTGCTTCCGAGCACGTGAGTAACAATTCTTATTGCATTTATTTATATCATAGCGGCGCTACTACGCGCAGAGCCACGTACCTTTGGAAATATTTCGAAGAGAATGATGGGTGGCAAAAAGAAGCCAACTAGGGCTCCTCTTTTAGTAGCCTGCAGTGCAGTTGTCTTAGTAAGGCGAGTTAACGTTAAAAGCTCCCAATAGTGTATCCGAGCGGCCATGTTTGATTTGGAGTCAGAGTGGACGGTGGGGGTAGGGGAAAATATTCACTCCCTCACTCCCGCCCCTCGGTAAAATGTTCTTGTTCTCCCCAGCCTTCCGCTGCTGTTAAAATCAAAGATGGTGGCCATAATTTTCGCTTGGAAAATACTAAGCACTCGCTCGCCAAAATTACGCCTGCTCTACAGGTTAGCTGGGCAAAATTGACGTAACACTGATGTTTGAAATTTATTGTCATTCTTAGGTCCAACACAGAGGCCCAAGCCACCTCAAAGTAAGTGGTTAGATGGAATATTTCATCTATTAGATCGCAAACCTCTTCTCATTTCCCTTCCATTACTCACGTATATGTATTAACTAATTACAGTGTGTGAACGCGCATACAACTTCTAAAGCTTTAAAAAGCCACGACACCAGTACGATAACCTCTTACATAGATGATATTACCTGGCCGTACGGAGATACGAAATTTCTCCTCGAATGATGAAAAATATTTCACGAATGCGCAAAACGAACGAGTGAATTATTTTTTAACGCGAGAAGGAAAATCTATAAGCGGCCTTGTAATTTTCTATTTATGATATAAACATCAATGAAATACTAACTCATTTCGCTTTTTTTTTTTTTTGAAGTAGAACCATGCGCTGTAACCAGAGTAACATTGATCTTTTGACGTGTTGAGATAACATCTTATCTTCGCGTGATAAAATAACATGTTATCTTCACGTGTGAAGATGTCATGTTTCGCGCGAAAGCTCACTCTTTATTCCATTGGTGTTTATCTAATATTATTAGTTTACACGTCACTACGCCAACATGACATATAAACCTGGCCTCCCTTAATAGGACTCCCGGATGCTGTTGCCTTCTACCCCTTGACGGTGAGTTACAGAGGTTATGACGTTGGTCCCAAGAGGAATCCGCCGGGAAAATTATTCAACGTTAAACCAGCGCCCGGCCCCGATGGACGACGTGGTGGCTCGTACAGTTTTTCAGGAAAGCCTAACAGTTTTATTGAGTTCCCCAACACGGGACCACTTGACACCCAGAACTCCATCACTCTCTTAGCATGGATCAACCCCCATGGGGGTGCGGGACCTATCTTCAACTACGATCCCAGGGGGTTTGGCGTCCATTTTTGGGTTACACGTGCAGGAAGACTATTTGCACGTTTCGTGCGGCGCACGCGAGCTATGACACCGCCGCTGATCAGTCGAATCCTTAGGCGCAGATCTTGGAGTTTTGTTGGTTGCACGTACGATCAGACCACAGGTGTTGCAGCATTGTATGTCAACGACAAAAGAGTCGCTACTAAGGCTATTGGTCGAATACGTTTATCGACAAACTATCCTGCTAGGATGGGTGCAAAAATACGAGATAATCGCAATTTTCGTGGTTGGATAACGTGTATGCAGGTTTATGATGTAGCTCTCTCATTACGACTCATCAGGATCGCCAAGAAACTTTGCTTTAAAGGTGAGTATAATTCTTTTAACTCTTTGACCCCAAAAAGTGTTTAGTATATAAATTATTCTTTAAATTTACCTCCCGAATCACACGTTAAGGTCGTTAGAGTATCAACAAGAGGAGTTCTCGACTTCTAAACAAATTCTCCATTTCAATACCATGGAAAATGTACAGAGAATAGTGTGGAGAAAATTGATACTGATGTAAGGGTGTAAAGGGCGGAGCCCCCTTTGTTTTCATTTGGTTAACGTGTTCCTTTTTGTTGTTTGTTATTTAATTTAGAGGCAAATTTGATTGACATAACTGTTCCTTCTTTTCGTATTATTGCATTTTTCAGCTTTCCCCACTCCTGCACCACCAACACCGGCACCACCCCTTCGGGGAAGAAGTAAGTTGTAGCTTTTAAACCCGTTATGCTCCTATTTAAATCTAAGAGTTTTTTAAACCGTCCAACTTCTCTTTATACTTAAATTAAACAATTTATATTTATGTAAAGCTTTTTTGTATCCTGAAAATGTGCAATAAATTTAGAATTGGCTTTAATCGGAAAATGGTGACCCTGGTGATGGAAAAAGTATCATGTTGTGACTATAAAATGAATTAAATTTTATACTTTATAATCTTTATTTAGCTTGCAGATCTCGTATTGATCTTGGTATCCTACTTGACGGCAGTGGCAGTCGGTATAGATTCAGCCAAGTCCTTTACCTCGCACAATTGATCATCAGATATTTTGACATTTCTAGGATCTATACTCGTGTCGGTATTATTGCGTATTCAAACACTCCAATTCCGGTATCTAATTTCCGTACCTTCTCGCGCAAATACGATTTGTTAAAGGCAGTGAAAAAGATCGGCTTTCCTCGCGGACGATCGTATACAGGACGCGCGTTGCGCTTTGCTAAGAGATATTTGTATACTGGGTCACGGTCGTCTTCTCGAGCCAGAGTCCTTGTAGTTGTCACTGGTAGTAGATCCTCCGATGGTGTCGCGCGGCCTGCCGAGATGCTCAGGCAAGCTGGGGTCGAGATATTCGCGGTTGGAATGGGTGGCAGGACCAGCATGACCTCTTTGTCTACCATAGCGAATGACCGTCACCACGTGTTCACTGGTGTGAGATTGAGAATTACAACCAACCTGCCAAAACTTGTGGCAAAGATATGTGCAGCTACTCCAAAACCGACACCAACAAGGAGTAAGTAAAAAATTCAACAATCCTCGATGTAATTCATATTACGAACGGCAACTAAGAATCACAGTTATACAGATCTTTAACCTTTGAAGACTTTTATATATTGGCGCAAACGTGCAAGTTCTCAACCGCTAAAAATTTTACACAACCTGCAAATTTGGAATTCGTTTTATTGATGATCTAAGACGATGAATAGCCTCAAAAATCCAGTTCTTTTGATGTGCATCTCTTCAAAAGAGAAAGAGAGGAATGAAGTTTGTAACGTTGTAGCTACATCATGTTTCAATAGAATTTACTGTTGTACTGACGTTTCATGTTTTCTTTGATTGCAGAGCCTGGCCCATATGGGACAAAAAAACCATCACCAAAGATTGGTAAGAAAATGTTATTATGTGACAGTTTCCCTCGGGTAACTAATTATTTCCAACAATTCACTACTTGCGTAGATGTGGTTGGAACTTAGTCCTACTAGACCAGTGTTTGTACGTCTTGTAATTTGCAGATGGGAGAGGGGGGGGGGGTTGCCCATGTTTTCTATTTTTTTTACTGGGGTAAACCAGCCATTACACACTGACTCTATATTCCCTCTTTGTTAATATTATGATTTTTACGTGGCATTGTCATTGACAGAGGCAAACTAATGTGATTTGTGAAAAATATCACACTCATTATTACTTTTAATTATACTATTGGCTTAATAATCCGATTACGTTTGTTTTCATTCCAACAGAGCCACCCCCGGCTATGGGCGTATACCCATTAAATGGCATAGAACGTGGAAAAGACAAAGGCCCCTTTAAAAATCCGCCTGCAAGACTTGTCAATGTCGTTTCTAAGAACGGACCTGACGGGCTTCCAGCTGGTTCTTACCAACTGCAAGGATTTGCCAACAGCTTTATTTACTTCCCAAATACCGGACGGTTGGATACACATAACTCAATCACCATCCTTCTGTGGCTCTACCCAGAAAGTGCTGGACCGATATTCCATTACTATCCCAGGGGTATCGGTGTCAATCTCCGTATGATTAGCCGTAGGGTAATCCGTGCGGAGTTTGTGACTCGCAACCGGAGAAAATCGTTCAAGATCTCTAGGAGAATACGTTCCCGAGTGTGGAACTACATTGCTGCTACTTACGATCAGAAAACTGGCTTGGCAACCTTGTGGTTGGATGCTATTCCAATCACTCAACGAAATATCGGGAGGATTCGACTGGCCACAAATTACCCAGCTATTTCAGGACGAAGGCCCGGTGACCCTAGACATTTCAGAGGTCGCATCTCGTGTCTTCATATTTACAATCTTGCACTTAACTCTTATCAGATAAGGAGGCTCAAGAGATTTTGCTTCCGCGCAAGTAAGTTGGTATATTTTATCTGACATCACTAGTGTAAACGATTCGCGTCGTGAAGTCCTCTAGAAAAGTACAAATCATTTAACAAGCGGCAGGAAACTTATAATTCACTACGCCTGTTTCGATCCGCACTGAAAATTTTTTCTGGTACATTTTTCGTATCTTCAACTGATACTCAGTGAATACATTTTCAACCAAGTTTGCTGCACACAGTTCAAATGGTGTGAAGTCGATAGATACTTAAGACACCGATTTAGAACTCAGCGCTTCGTCGGGGCCGTTTGCATGCATACTTCTGCTGACTTACTTAAAGATCTTGTACCTTTAACAATTGTCCATTTCTTTTTTAGGACCTGTGACACCGAAACCAACGCCAGGTACGTTAAAAAAATGTTCTGAATAATTTCTACATATTTACGTTTTCTAAGTTGAAAGAAACAGCTTGGGGAGTCACAACTGCCGTTTGGGGTTTGAACTTGGTGCCTCCGCTCTAGGGGAAAATGTGTCATTGTAATCAGTACCTTTGAAATGGGTGGGACATTGTAGTTCGCAGTGGAACGTGATTATACACCATTTGCAATTTTTGTCTCCAAATGTAAAAACGAAAATGTCCTAGTTTGTTACGGTGTCTAGTTCAGTTACGCAGTTTGAGTATCGTGCTTGCAGCTTTTCGATAGTTTTCAAGTGTCAGCTGTGTGCGCGCCGGATTTTGATCGCCTTATCCCTCAGAAATATGGACCTTATTTGTCTCCAAGTAGCAAAATTGTAATCAGTACGTCCACTTACTATTTTACACTGGCTTCAACTCAGGTCTCCCACGCATTGTTGCCATCTACCCCCTCGACGAACAATACCAAGGGCGTGACGTCAGCGGAAACCGAAACCCCACTGGTACCCTTGTTGGTGTGAGAACAGGACCAGGTCCTGACGGGTGGCCGAACACAGCTACCGAATTCTTTGGGAATCGAAACAGCTACGTGGAGTTCCCGAATACTGGAAAGCTAGACGCAAAGAATTCCATAACAGTGTTGGCCTGGGTCTTGCACTTGGGTTATGCTGGTCCGATCTTTAACTTTAATCGTGGTCCGGGTTGGGGCGTGCATCTATGGATGACAAAACCACGACAGTTCTTTGCCCGGTTTGTCAGACGGGGTGGTCGCTTCACCACACCGCTCGTAACCCATGGCAACAACGTGCGATACAAAGCGTGGAATTTCGTTGGTGCATCTTTCGATGGAAACACAGGAATGGCCACACTGTGGGTGAATAATCGACCAGTTGTTCGGTCTAACATCGGGAAAATTCGTCTGGCGACAAACCGACCCGTGCGTATGGGTGCAAAAATTGGCGATCGTCGGTACTTCCGTGGCAGGGTATCTTGTGTTCAGGTTTACAGCGTGGCGCTTACGCGAAAGCAAGTCATAAATGCTGCAAGGAGATGTTTCAAACGTAAGCCTGGCTAAACTTTCATTAATTGTAAAATATCTGTTCTTATAAGAGTCGTTTCGTACCAAGTCGATTCATACCCAGCTAGGACCCTTTGTACCCGGTCGGTTGATTCGTCTCGTACCCATACTACTAAAATGTGTTATCCATGTCAGGTATGTTTTAAATAAGTAAGTTTTCTTATGTTCAAAAACAATATTACCAGCGTTAGATAAGTTTTGTTTACGTGACGTACATTTTTGATGCGCAACCACGAAACGACCTTGTGTACCAAACGAATGGATACGTTCAACTTAATCGTACCTTAAGAGCAGTTTCCAACTACTTCTTGCACAGCAATTTAGTTATGTTTCATAGCTTACATTAGCTCGCCATTAAATCAAATCACACTTTCTCTTTCTCTATCAACAGGACAACCGCCACCAACACCTCCCCCACCAGGTACGATTTATGAAAGTGTGTTTTTTTTTGTTTTTTGTTTTTTTTTTGGGGGGGGGAGGCAACGACTACGGCAAAAGTAATTCTGATAATATCCAATTAAACAAAAATCCTCAAAAGAACCTTATAGAAAAGGGGTATTGAATACCTTGATCACCTCCTCGACCAGGCAATGGTCCGTTCTTATGAAAATTTGTCATATGTCGGCCAACCTTGAAAGTTTCTTTTAGATTTGACGAATGAGCGTTTGCGCCTACTTTTGGCTATCCACGTGATTCCTTACTTTCTGAACGCCAGTCCTAAATGTGAATTTTTTTTATCTTAAGATTTCAAAGAAAGTCCTTTGGCAATGTTCTGACCTTTTTCTTTGGGCAGTGACAAATAAGTGGGCCCAATAATTGTTGTGTCTAAGCTTCGTTCGAGGAAGTTCTCTTCTCAAGTTCCACCCCTGACTGGTATCTATGACGTAGTCAAAAGCTTATCAGGGAATTTTAGATGGTTCATCCCCATCCAGTAGCAACAGTGAATGAGATAACTGTGACCAGAACTGCTTCCTGTAGCTCTTGTAGAACGTTCAGAAGAAGCTCCAGTAAAACTAATAAATAGGACGGCCTTGTCTTAGTGGGTGGGTGACTGTGACCGTTACTTGACCCGTAACCTTCAATTAGGATTTGACCAAGGGGCGGACTGACTTATTTTACTCGTTACTTTGCTTTCTCAGTCTGTAGAACAGTTGTAGACCTTGGTTTCTTAATTGATGGCTCTGGAAGTATCGAATATCACGGTCGAGGAAACTTTAGGCCAAGGGGCGGACTTATGTTACTTTGCGAACAGTTGTAGACCTTGGTTTCTTAATTGATGGCTCTGGAAGTATCGAATATCACGGTCGAGGAAACTTTAGGCTTATGCTTCGCTTCGTAAAATCCATTGTGGTCACGCTGCCCGTCTCAAGAACACAGTCGCGTGTGGGTGCAGTGCTCTTCTCCACCAATCCTTTTCCACTGTTCAGATTTGGCCAGCTGAACACCATCACGCACGTGCAACAGGCTATTGACAGCATTAGGTACCCTCGTGGAAAGACTTACATCGGCAAGGCTTTGGCTTACACCAGGAGATTCTTATTTGGCAGACGTAGGCAACGGAATCGCAAGCGCGTCTTGATCATGCTCACGGATGGTATATCACAGGACCGCGTCGGGCGTCAGGCGTCGCTGTTGAAGGCTAAAGGCGTTGAGGTTTTTGTCGTTGGTATCGGAAGAGCGCTGAAGAGACGACAGTTGTTGCAGATTGCCACAGACAGGAACCATGTTTCTGTTGTATCGTTCAGAGGGTTGGCTGCTTTATCAAAGATGATAAGGTCCAAAATCTGTCAGCTTGTCCAACCTACAGGTTAGTACATGAATGTTGTACTGATATGTCTCTGGGATGAGAAACAAAGACACAAGTTCAGAAAATGTATAGGAATTTCCTGCGAGAAGTAAAGAAAATAAGAGAAGAGTACTCGCAGGCTAACAGAGATATAAGTTCATAAAAACCCTTGCTGTTGAAGGAAAGGGAAGACTTATTCAAGTTTAGCTTGATATGGCACAAGGGCGTTTATCAGGGCGGAGTATTAAATATCTTTTCTTCCTTTTCAGGAGGGCCAATGAAGCCTACACCAACTAGAAGTATGTATCATTTCAAACCAGCTCTTAAACGAGCTATATCATAATCTTCTTTTTATTGTTGCTACCAGTTGAAATTTTGTTACAGTGATTCCGATCCGCTAACACTGAAGTCACTTAGGTCGTGTCACAGCAAATTTGATACTAAGACGAGAAGATTTTCCTCTGACTTTGGAATTTATTTTCTGTTACAATTATCTTGCAGTTTATATTCCAGATTCTGTAGTCGTGTACCCTATGGACGGTCCGAGGCGGGGTAAAGACATCAGCCGAACTAAAAATCCCTCGGCCACTCTAATGGGCGTAGGCACGGCTCAAGGTCCGGACGGCCGTCGTGATGGATCCTTACGTTTCTATGGACGACGGAACAGCTACGTCGAAATTCCTAACACGGGAAAGCTGGACACAAGATACTCAATAACTATTCTCATCTGGGTGTACCACGCAGGGATATCAGGACCCATATTCAATTACAATCCACGAGGCTTTGGCGTGCACGTCTGGATGACAGGGCGGCGCCAACTTTTCGCGCGCTTTGTGCGACGCTCAGGGAAATTCACGTCACCGATCACAAGTGGAAGAATGAAATACAAGGCGTGGAATTACGTCGGTGCAAAGTACGATGGCAGAACGGGCGTGGCGACGCTTTACATCAACTCAGTACCCGTCGGAATTAGACGTTTAGGGCGAATAAAGTTGTCGACAAATTATCCCGTGAGACTCGGAGCACGGGAAGGTGACAGGCGCTATTTCCGAGGACGACTCTTTTGCGCGCAGGTATACAGTGCTGCACTCAGCCAGAAACAGATCTTCGCGGCTAAACGGAGATGCTTTCTACCAGGTTTGTGCTGACCGCGTTCTGTTTAAATGCTTCTAAATAATAAATAACAAAGGTTAAGGTTTGTACATTGAGCTTTCGTTGATGACAATCTGAATAAGAAAGTTGTATATGTATGCTGGTACACAGGTTTCAGTTTATGACACAGCTCATGTACATGGGACTTAAAGATAACTTTTTTATGATCACGAAGGTATTAACAGATAGCTCTTCTCTTGCAGTTCCGTCTCCTACTCCTCCTCCTGGTCCTCGTCCAAAACCAGCGCCACGTGGTAGGCCTATCATGATAGAATATATTCATCATGCTTATTTTAACAATTTTCAAAGTTTAAGAAAACTGAAGATGATTTTCAAATGCTTTTCCCTAAGCTTCTATTATTTCTCTGTTAGTTTGCAGGCAGCGTATCGATCTCGGCTTCCTGGTGGATGCGTCTCGCGTCAGGTACAGCTCCCGTGTCATCCTGAGATTCTTAAAGGACACAGTCAGGTTATTTGAAGTTTCCAGGCTGAAAGCTAGAATTGGCATTGTACTGTACACCTCAAGAGTTAGGCTCCTCTTGGGATTTAGAAGAAATTACAATCCAAGTCAAATAAGCAGACTGATTGATCAGATCCGACTCATCGGTCGCACTGGCAGATACCTTGGAAGAGCCTTGACTTACACAGCTCGCTACCTATTTAGAGGTAGACCACGCTGCGGGCGAAGAAGGGTTCTTGTTGTTCTGGCAACTGGAGAGTCCCGCGATGATGTCACAAGGCCTGCGAGAGGATTATTTTCCTCGGGTGTAGAATTATACGCTGTTGGTATTGGAAGAGTGAGGAGACAATCGTTGCTTCGTGTTGCCACAATCTCAAGTCATATTTTTAAAGTTGGTGCGAGGCAGTTGGTGTCATTAAGTAGGATTATCAAAGATAAAATATGCAGTTCGACAGGTCAGTAGGATTCTGGTAGTCAAACAATTTCCGCATTTTTAAAACTTAGCAAAGCAGGTAGCTAAATATTTTACTTTGTCTCAGCAGTGAGAATCGGTTTTTCGTTATGTCATGCATTGCACATTCTCTGCTCCACTGCGTTTCATCGAGTGTCTGCGAATAGAAAATTCAAGAGATATGTGTGGCAGAAATATGGCCGTCGAAAATAATTCATAAATACTATAATGCTGGGAAACACACGGTAAAAACTCGTTCCACAGTTCTCTCTCATGGACACTATTCCTAATAAAAGTCAGTGCTACTTCTTTTATCGCCGCGCACATCATCGAGCAGATTTTGAATATTTGCAATCTGTGACGGAGACAAATTTATTTTTCGGAGACAGAAATTTTGTCTAAAAATGTCCTAAATTATTCGAAACTGTTTGTCTTTACGACTTGTTCCTAACACGTTGTCGCCCCGTGAGTTTCGCCTTTAACAACGCTTTTTTTTTCCCATTTTTTAGTTATTGTTTCCGGTGGTGCAGTCGGTTTCTATCCATTTACAAGCACCTCTGGCGGACGTGACGTCAGTAGGTTCAGGAATCCAACAGCACAGCTTGTTGGCGTTTCATTCATTCAAGGCCCAGATGGACATCCGCAGGGAGCTTTATTTTTCCCAGGGATGCGAAGACAAAGAGGACGATTAAGAGGCAGCTATGCTCTGATCCCAAACAACGGATGTCTGGACACTCGTTACTCTATTACGATAATTGCCTGGATTTACCCGGAGAAGCCCGGTCCCATTGTGCACTACAATCCGAAGGGATGGGGCCTTCACTTGTGGCTCACTCATCCAAACGAGCTCTACTTACGCTTAATGCCTAGAAAGGGCTCGCGGCATAATGTTAAACCACTGACCACCCAGAGCTTGAAGCCTTACAGTTGGAACTATATCAGTGCTACTTATGACCACCGCACAGGACTTTTAACGCTTTGGCTGAATGGGCTTCCTGTGTCTCAGAGGAATATCGGAAAGTTTCCTTTGGGCGTAGCCACGAACTACCCCATAGTCATTGGTCAGCGGCCTGGAGATCGTCGCATATTTCGTGGACGTATTGCGTGTTTGCAAATTTATAATGTGGCTATGACGAGAGCACAGATTATCGCTAGGAGAAAGCAGTGCTTTAGACCAGGTAGGAGAAGAAATTACAGTCTAATTGCGTTCAAAAGCGCAATGATAAACATGAACCATCTATCACGTCACCTTTTGTACAAGAGTCTTTGAACTCAGCTGTGAAGTTACCTCGAAAATGATTATCTATGATCGTGGAATACTGTTGAACTCGAGTATTTGGAAACGATTTCCACGACGACGGTTTGTTGTCGCCATAAGTCATATCGCACGAGGTGTCTTGGTAGACATTGATGTTTAGTAAATACTTTGAACCGAATTGGTGTAAAAACAATTGTCGATAATATGGTGTAATCCTGCAGATGAGAGTAGTTTATAAAAAAGCTCCCTTCAGTGATCGTGATTCACCTCCTAACAACCTGAGCGTAAGCAATCAACAGCGTCAAATGATGATTTGTCAGCCGAATGCTATAGCTCTCGTTCAAGCGACCTTTTTAAGGTGTAAAGGTGTCTACTAGTTTTTGAGAATTCTAAAATATAATGTTTCTTTAAACTTTCCAGTGGTTGTACCCACCGCACCAACTCAGAAACCATCAACTCCTCGACCAGGTTTGTTGTACAGCTTTGTCGTTATTTTCCGAAAGGCCAGAGATGTACCCAACCTAGAATTTTAGTAATACTTGACTATTTTAAGCGTCTTTTCTTCGTTATGGTTTTGCCAGGTGAAATCTTGAAAGAGCTTCTGGTTTGCTGAATTTTAAAGCCTTTTATTGTGATGGAATTTCAAATAATTTCAATTGGCCAGAAATGTTGAGGCAAAATATTACTTTAGTCTGAGTCTCTTCAAAACCTTTCTGTTTGTATTTTTAAGCAGTGTACACGTGGCGTATTTAAACCCGTTCGTCCACCCAGAAAGATCGGGTTTATCAAAACACATAATGAACAATTCATTTCGGGCGCCTTTCAATGGACTCCATCAATCAAAATAGTGAGAAAACTTTAACATAACAATTAGACAGTCTCTCTGGTATCTGCCTGTTTTTAGTTGCCCCTAATTTATCTTCTTTTTTCGTTCTTTAGTTTGTGCCGTACCTATTGATCTGGGCTTCCTTATCGACGGTTCCTCCAGTATTGAACGTTACGGCCGAGGAAACTTTGCCCGTATGTTAAACTTTATCAAGTCTTTTGTGAGCTTCTTTCCAATCTCTCGCCGAGATACTCATGTTGGTGTGATCCTCTACACTCGCCGAGCTATACCTATCTTCAGGTTTAATAAATACTATACGAGGGCGGCCATCTTGAGAGCTATAGAGAACCTAAGGTATCCCCGAGGAGGTACCTACATTGGAAAAGCTTTGTCATTTGCCCGACGGTATTTGTACCCAGGAAGACCAGCGTCTAATAGAAAGAGGGTGACAGTCGTGCTTACCGATGGCATCTCCCAGGACCGTGTAAGTGGACCGGCGCGTCATCTTCGTGTTGCAGGATGTGAGATCTTCGTTCTTGGCATCGGACGAGGATATAGAATATCTCAGTTACGGCAGATTGCTACCGATAACAATCACATATTTACGGCGTCCTTTAGATCGCTCGGGAAAGTTATACAGAAGATTAAAAGCAAAGCCTGCCAGAAGCCAGTGCCCACTCCAAGTAAGCATTGCTCTTGTAAAGACCAATATTTTCAATTGAAAAAAGTGTATGTCCAATTCAATTTCTTAGCCTGCTTGCACACTAAAATTCAAGTTATTCCATCTTTGAAATTAATCCTGTGCCCATACAACGTAAAAGATAAGGTGATAATTGAACCTTACTTAATTTAAAATATATTTACTTCTCATGTTATCTGATTTTCCCTTCCTTTGCTTTTTTGCAGCACCAACACCCCCAAGAGGTAGGTCAGCTGTTGCTCGATTTAAATGCCGTATATCATTTGAGGTTATATGAAGAAATGAAAATTACTTTAAGTTTTGTTTTTACTTTTAAATTCTCTCGAAATTTCAATTCAATCTTTTCAAAGAAAGATTTCGATTCGTTTACCTCTCTTCAACTATACACGAAATTAGTGTTTCTGAAAGGTGTTCGTCTTAACTTCAGTTCGTCTCCCAAGTACTATGGCTGTTTACCCATTCGATCGTGTTCGAGCGGGTCGAGACATCAGTCGAGGAAGAAATCCGAGCGCACGAATTGTCGGTGTGAAATATGGACAAGGCCCTGATGGTCGTACGGACGGCTCTACGGAATTTTACGGAAGACCTAACAGCTACGTGGAAATCCCCAACCGTGGGAAACTGGACGCGAGGTATTCCATAACTTTCTTAATCTGGGTGTACCATAATGGCCGCAAGGGACCAATTGTAAACTACAATCCGAATGGCTACGGCGTTCATCTGTGGATGACGAGTTATCGGCAGCTATTTCTTCGTTTTATGCACCGCGACGGACGCACAACTCGCCCCTTGAGAAGCAATCGGTTAAAGTACCGAGCTTGGAATTATGTTGGTGCTACTTATGACGAACGATCTGGTATTGCTACGCTGTGGTTGAATTCTCAGCCGGTAGCAAGACGGCGTTTGGGTAGAGTGCGTCTCTCCACAAACTATCCTATCAGACTGGGAGCCATCAGGAGAAGTCGCAACTATTTCAAAGGAAGGATCTTCTGCTTACAGCTTTACAGCGTCGCGCTGACAAGAAAACAGATCTTTGAAGCTAAAAGGAAGTGCTTTTTGCCAGGTAATGTTGATGAACTGCATTCTCAGGTCTGATTTTGAGTCCTCTCCTCTTAGGCTGGGAATTGTTTCAATTGAACTGCGGAAGAAGAAGTCTACTATTGCATTGTTTGCCAACCAACTTTTTGACAGTGTCGGTAGCCTTCCGCTTTTTGCGTTTGAAACTTTGAAGTCGCTTCGCTAATATTTTCTTCTCTCGATGCAAGCTTTACTGGAAACCAACCAGTTGGCCGAATCTATGTTAGGTTAAAGAAAGCACCGCCTACGCCCGACTACTAGTCATTGTAGATCTTAAGGTATTAAAACAAATTATATTTACATAAAATTGTGTATTAATTTTATTTCAAGTTCCTAAGCCAACGACGCCGGTCACCAAACCAACAACTCCGCCTCCGAGAGGTAATTGAAAATGTTTTTTGTTCTTCTGTAAGAGTAGAGCAGCAATTACTCCAGAACCGCGCCTTGTGACTCCCGTTCGTGGCGTGGTTACTGAGTTGTTTAAGCAAAACAAATGATTCCGTTCTTAACTCTCATTCGAAGACTTTGTGCTCGAACGCTCAGGTTTCTCTTTGGAATTGCAAAATGATTTAAGTAACAAATTGTTACCAAGACTCCTTCACCTCAGAGAGAAATCATGGAGTATCCCTGTAGTTCTGCGTTAAGGTGTCGTGCTCTGAAAGATCCTTCGTTCCTTATACTTTTGCTTTTTTTCCTAATGTGTTTTATCTGTTCATTTATTTATCAATTTGTTCTTATCACGGTATAATGATTGATATGGATTACATTGATTTCAGTGGTTCCAGAAAACGCTTTTAATAGGTTGGCTTAAAAAGTTCCTTTGTTACTAAGTTCGTCACGAGATGTGCTACAGTTGTTCCAACCGTGCTCAAAGTAAACTGACATTTTACAAATATTTTGTTTTGATTTTAAGTTTGCAAAGCCCGCATCGACCTGGGATTCCTTATCGATGGCTCTCGCCGAACTGGATCCGTCACTTTCCGGCGCATTATCGAATACGTAAAGGAAATGGTCAGGCGATTTGATGTCCAGAGATCGCAAACTAGAGTAGCTCTAACCATTTTCGCTTCAAGCCAGCGGCTGGTTTTCCGCTTTGGCAAATCGTACAGTAGAGCGCAAGTGTACCGAGAGCTTAAAAAGTTGAGTTTGTTGCGTGGAAGGCGAAGAAATACAGCTCGAGCCCTGATGTATGTTAAGAGACATATGTTCCGAGGCAAACCCACATGCGGCAGGAGAAGAGTACTCGTACTGGTAACTGCTCGTGAAACACGTGACAATGTGGTGCGTCCGGCAAGAATCTTGCACGCTGCCGGTATTGAAGTGTACACAGTCGGCCTTGGTCGGGTTAGTGTGCGATACTTGAGGAAAATCGCTACAGACCGGTTCCACGTGTTTGTTAAGAATGCACGGAGCTTATTGACTATCGTGAGAACCATCAAGGACAGGATGTGCCACTCCCCAGGTAAGACTTCATAATTTTGGAGTTACAATTGAGACCTTTTCGTCATAGTACTCTATTTGCTAACTGACTGACTGGCTGACTGACCGACCAACCAACCGGCAGGCCGACCGATAGACAGACAGACAGACAGACAGACAGACAGACAGACATCGACTGTCTTCAACCTTCAAATAGAATGGAACAATTGAAGTCATAGTGTTCAATTTAACTTGTCAATATTGAAGCATTGGAATGACACCACTTTGCAGAGTTGGGATAGAACGAGAGAAAATCAATCAATAGCAATTAAGCGTAGATATATTAATTCATTTCACTTTTCTTCTAGTCATCATTTCTAGAGGAGCTGTAGCCACGTATCCCTTCACAAGTGCAGTACGAGGCAGTGACATCAGTCAATATAAGAACCCTCCCGCACGACTTGTAGGTGTTTCCTACATCCAGGGACCTGACGGACACCCGAAGGGAGCTTACTACTTCCCAGGAAGAACTCGAATTAGGGGAAGAACGAGAGTAAGCTATGCCGTTCTCCCGAACAATGGTTGCCTTGACACACGGTACTCGCTGACGATGATACTCTGGGTGTATCCTGAATCTCCAGGACCTTTGATTCATTTCAATCCCAAAGGATGGGGAGTCCATCTGTGGGCAACCCGTCTCACTCAACTCTACTTTCGGCTTATGCCAAGGAGTAGGACGGGCCGCAGAGTGAAAGCTTTGATTGGTCGCGGGCTCAAACCCAGGACATGGAACTACGTTGCAGCTAGTTACAACCACCGCACCGGTTTGGCGACTCTCTGGTGTAACGGCTACCCGATTGTTCAAAGAAATGTTGGCCGATTCCCAAGTGGGCTGGCCACCAATTATCCCATAATGATCGGTCGTAAGCCTCGCTCTCGTCATGTGTTTCGTGGACGAATCGCGTGTCTGCAACTGTTCAACGTGGCACTCACGCGACCTCAGATCATCGCCTTAAAAAAGAAATGCTTTCGACCAAGTAAGTGTTACCAGCAATTAAGAGATTTGGTACATTTTATTGAATTATTCCAACTTCTTTTCTTACAAGTGTATTTCATTATTTTACTTATGTAACTCTGAATTTCTCTTTTTCATTCTAGTTCCACAACCCCCGCCCACTCCAAGTCCAGGTATCCGTCACATATTTTTACATTTTTAGATCTTCTCCATAGTATAATTTTTAAAAAACTTTATGAAAATCTATTTTAATTTGCTCGGCGATTCATGGTTGTTAATGAATATCGCATAACTGCGCATTATTGTTTCTGATAGCAGGAGCGTAATTACTTTCAGCAAACATGAAAATTAATGTGTATTAGTCTACTATGGAGTTGTAACAAAAGAGTTTAGTGCGGAGGGCGACTCCATTCCCCTTGAACTGCCTGTTTCCTAAACATGAAACTTTAATTCTTATTTTTCAAACTCCATCAGGAGACTTTTTAGGGGTTTCGGTGGTTTTTCGGTTGGATCACTTGGTTTTCAGGCGGTATGGATTTGGATCAGTCGTCGCCAACAAAGCACAAAGAAAGGGCTAGGGAAAATTAATGCCCTTTAGCTACCAGCGAGGGGTTTTATATATTTCAGAGTGTTATGGGGCAATCAGTTACAGGTGAAACTACAAATTAATCATTTTCTATGTTAGTTTGCAGATCTCGTGTGGATCTTGGTATTCTTGTCGATGGTTCCAGCAGCGTCGGGCGAAGGAACTTCAGAAAAGTCATTGACTTCGTGAGATCTTTGGTCAGCTTCTTCCCTCTGTCCACGCGACAAACACGCGTAGGTGTGATGCTGTTCTCCTCTCGACCGAGACTCATGTTTGGATTCAACAGATATGGCTCAAGAGCGCATATTGTCAGAGCCATCAACCGTATAAGGTTTGTCTAGGACTGGTGTCATGTTGCCTATTTTTTCGTATTTCGACTGGACGAAACTTTGTTCTGCGCCCTAAACTCGTTTTCCTCTATCCAATAAAAACGTAACGTTTCCTGGCGGAAATATAAATGCTGCGATTTACATTTCTGTTATTCTTGCCAGATATCTGCCGAGAGGACGGGGAAGTTTTATTGGACGAGCTCTCAGATATGTCCGCCGTGTGCTGTTCCGAAGGCGCGCCGTACAAGGGCGTAAACGCACCCTGCTTATCTTATCTGATGGTGTTTCCTCGGATGGTGTTCGAGGACCTGCCTCACGCCTTAAGCGAGAGGGAGTAGAGCTATTCGCCCTTGGAATCGGCTCGCGATTCAGCAGAAGTCAGCTACAGATGATTGCATCAAGCCCTCGTAATGTTTTTGCGGCTGGATTTAGTCGGCTTGGAAAAGTTATTCAGGCCATCAAAGAGAAAGTGTGTCGCCCTACACGACCAACGCCTAAACGTGAGTTTATCATCGTGTAGTACTCGTCTAATATTTATTAAGTTATTGAAACTTAAGCCGATGGTATCTTCGATGCGAGTTTCCACAGTGAGTGAAGTCAAGTTTTTCTGTCATGCATAACTTATATGTTCACGACTGAACTACGCAGACAACGGATATTACAAATTAAAGAGAAAGAAAATTTTCTATGGAACATTGAAAAAGTCATCTAAGAAATATAGAAGATTAAAATAAATCGACGCAAATTATGAAAACTTCGAGAGATACGGAAATTTATCCAATTGAATTTCAATCCTGGTCGTAAGGGATGAATAGTGTGGAACACGTAACTCCTTGAGAACGAAACTTACTTCAGAGAATAAGGAGGATAATATCTTGTCTCTCTTCATTCGGCTTTTTGTATTTTCGTGTTGGCTGTTTTTGTTTGAATTTTTGTGTATTTATGATTATCCGTCATGATAAGTCGGCTTATTGTAAATTATTTTTCTTTTGCAGCGACCGTACCAACGCCGACGAGTAAGTGTATCATAATAGCTGCCAGAGTTGCCGTGACGAAGCTGTTTAAGCAGTGCAATAAAACCTCTCCCAAAAACAAGTTCAATCAATTCTTTTAGTTTCAAGCCCAAGAGCAAAATGGAGAAATTTCAAATTGCAGGAAGTAACCAGAGTAATGTTTAGTGACTAATGATAAAACTTAAAGGCCCAGACTGTGATTATAACAATATCTGTCCAAGAGAAGTAAGGTTATATGAAAAGGCGGTTAACTAAACCCTGCAATTAATTAATTTATAGAGCCATTTTCAACGAAGAGTCGGAAGTATTCAAAACTTTCATTTGATTTGTCTTGATTTGCTCTGTGATTGGCTCAGAAAACTCGCCCCAGCATCTCAATCAGCGACATGCAAAGCTAAAACCCATAACAATCTAGTTACCTGCGTTTTCCCGCGCTTCTGGCTGTTTTCTTCGTTATTTATTTTTTCGTTAGTTTTCAGATGCTTTATGAGATAAATGTCTTTGTTCCAAGTGGCGAGTGTGATAATGGTTTTGTTTTAAGAAAACTATGCTGAATATTAAAAGTAAAGTATACCTAATTTACAGGACCACCTCGTGCCGTTGCACTGTATCCCCTCAACAGTAGAACCCAAGGACGAGACATCGGCCCTAGGAAAAATAAACCCGGGCGTCCCAGTCAGGTACGTCTGGCTTCTGGACCAGACAAGTTCCCACGGGGATCCTTCTATTTCACCGGTCGGCGCGGTAGCTACATCTACTTCCCTAACAATGGTGGCATTGATACCAGGAACTCGATAACCTTACTAGCTTGGGTCCACCCTGAGAAAGGCGGTCCTATATTCCACTACAACCCAAGAGGTTCGGGAGTAAGCTTCTGGATCCTCAGGAGGAATACCTTGTATGTGAAGTTCGTTCGGCGCTCTGGTCGTAGGTCGTTCATTCTGAGAGCACAAGGTATTCGCCCGAGGATGTGGAACTATATTGCTGCAACTTATGACTGTAAGACTGGGCTAGCTACCCTCTGGCGCGAGTCAACGCCAATTGCACAGAGAAATATCGGAAGAGGTTTGAGGCTCGCTACCAATTATCCTGCGATTATGGGAAGCAGACCAGGATCTAGGACTCGTTTCCGTGGTCGGATTGCTTGTATGCAGGTGTTTGATGTGGCACTGACTGGACCTCAGATGAACAAGCGACGCAATGTTTGTTTCAGAGGTGAGCACCAGTGGATTTGATTGAACTGAAAATTTGTTTAAAATATCTTTTCATTTGGAATTTTTAGTGTGAGTTACACTACAAGTTTCTTATAGGATAAAAGTATAAATCAATCATCAGAATTTTTCGTAATAAAATAGTTAAAAAAAGTCAAAAGTTGTCCTCACTACGTGCATTACCAAAAAGAAAAGAGTTTTACCGCCCGTTATCATTGAGCTATACCAACTCCGGCGAGAGCGAATGCGAACATGGGGGTTCTTTTGCTCAAGTTACTTATTTTTAAAGCTCAGTTTTGAGACACGCTCATAGATACATAGTATTTATCGATATGTCATGATCTACATTTTCCCATAATGAAATTTTGGGCCCTCGTGTGGCAATTATTAGAGTCAGTTGTGGATGCAACCCTCAACCGAAGACTTATCTGTCAGCTAAGCGTAAACCCCTGCAATATTCCACTCTTAAAACTGATTCGATGAGTTTGTATTAATTGCCACTATGTGATTTTCGATCTTAGGTGCCCCCCCACCTGAGCCGCCTCTTCCAGGTTAGTGTTGGTTTTTATTTATGTCACACAAGTTAATACTTGGACTTTGTAAAACGAATGTTATAAATCTGCAACACATTAAACTTTGGATTAAAAATTTCGTCCTCCTGAAAAGATGAGCACTTTAACATTTTTAGCCTTTTTCTTTTGCTAATTGTTTTGAAGGCATGATTAATTCGAGCTAAGGTATGGATCCTGTGTGATATACGTGCGTGATTTTCTGTCTTTCAGAGTTACCCCCTCTTGTCGCTATATTTACCCTGGATGGGGAGACTAAAACTAAAGATATCACTCGTAACAACCCGCCCGGTATCCCGTCACATGTCCGTCCAGCACCAGGCCCCGACGGAAATCCAAAGGGATCAACTCAGTTTTTCGGCTCGTCAAACAGTTATATCGAATTCCCAAACAATGGCAAGCTCGATACCAGGCGTTCTATAACCATTTTGGCGTGGATTTACCACAACGGGCGGTCTGGGCCTATCTTCAACTACGATCGACGTGGTTTCGGAGTTCATCTGTGGATGGTTGGACCCAGGGTGCTTTTCGTCCGTTTTGTGAAACGTTCAAGAGGGCGAACATCTTCAGTTGCGACCTACTCTACAAAACCGCGTTATAGAGCTTGGAACTACATTGGAGCCACTTACGATTACAACACTGGCGTCGCTACATTATGGCTGGACTCGAAACCTGTAGCGCGACAGAGCATCGGGCGTTTCGAGCTGGCCACGAATTATCCAATCAGGATGGGTGCACGAATTGGCGATAAAAGGGCTTTTCGTGGTAGAATTTCCTGTCTCCAAGTCTACAGTATTGCTTTAAACGCGAAACAGATACGTGGAGCGCGGAAGCGGTGTTTCAAGAAATGTAAGTTTCTGTACTTTTTTGTCTCGTTTTAAAAAGTTACATTGAACGAAACGTACTCGTTGGAGTTCATTACTCAAAGGGGATAATCCAGGGAAGTCTTTACGGGTAGTCTTTACAATTGATAACGAATGAATATCGCGATACAAACGATGTACCACAGTGGTTTTGTTACTTTCGAACGCCAATTATTTGGTGAGTCAATAACGGGTTGAGTCAGCACACTCATGATGCTAAAGATCATTTGAGCAACATTGTATGTGCATAATTACGATAAGCAGTAAACTTATCTTTTATAACAAAACACAACTTTAATTAGCCTACAGGTTATTCATAGTAAAGCTTAACGTGTAAGATCCTTATCTATTGTGGAAACTTTTATTTTGGGGAGGACACCTTTGTCAAGTCTTTCCTAGAAAATACTCGAGAGAGAATTATTAACACTTGCTAATATAAATCGAAAGTGAGATGAGATTTTACATGAAGGCCCTTTTAACTTCGCGAAACAACCGCATCGTTGCTTTTACGAATAAGCCTTACCACTGTAGTTGATTTCCGGCATATTATTTTTAGAACAGGCCTAATTCCCTTTCTTTCTCACTCACATTTAGGGCCAATTTCTACGCCAACGCCTTCAAGTAAGTATGTTTCAATGCTTAAAAATAAATATGTTAGCTCTAGGTATTCACCGTGAAAGATATTTTTCAAGCACTTCAAATCCTGAGAATTACTAAAATTTTTTAACTTCAGAAGAGACTTCTTTTGCCTCCGCTGATAAAATCTACCAAAATGTCACCTTTTTGGAGGTTACAAGAATTTCTTCCTTTAATGCGGCATCTTTGTAAGATTTTGTTTATTTTAGTTTAAGATGGAAGTAGTCTGAGGCACGCTATCTTGAATATTGCATTTTGATGTTTATCACTCGTGTCATTTTTTCTTTCAGTAACATCTCCGACACGTCCCCTACCGGAAAGTAAGTCAAAATCGTAATTTTTTACTCTCATTACAATTATAGATAATTTATTATTGTATTTATTGTCGATGTATTTTTTAGTACGAATTAAGTTTTGCTTATTATTTATTATTTATGAGTAATAGTGATTGTTTCATCTATGAAGTCGTCGTTGCTCGTCTTTGCCCAGCGTTAGCGTAAAGATTTATACAGTGTGCGATTTTTTGAACTCGCAAGAAATTTTTAAACCTGGTTATCGCACGGTACCATGTGAGAAATTGCCACACCGTGGATATTGGGCGTAAAAAGTAATGGCTTGTGTCTTTCTTTTGTGTGTTATATAGTGTGTAAGATTGCTGTAGACCTCGGGTTCCTGGTCGATGGATCTGGAAGTATCGAGTTCCAAGGGAAAGGAAACTTTGGTCGCATACTAAACCTCATTAAATCGTTGGTCAGCTTCTTTGAAGTGTCTCGAGGGAAATCACGAATCGGTTTCGTATTATTCTCTTCTCGACCGATCCCAATTTTCGGGTTCCGACGTTATTCGTCCAAAGTTCAAATCCTCCGAGCGATCGATCAGGTGCGTTATCCTCGAGGGGGCACGCGCATCGGAAATGCTTTAGAATTTACACAAAACTACCTTTTCAAACAACGAACTCCTCGCAAAAGAAAGCAAGTGCTGGTGTTGATCACTGATGGTATTTCACAAGACCGTGTCGGTCCTGCTGCCAGTCGCTTGAAGGCGACTGGTACTGAAGTTTTCGCAGTGGGTGTTGGAAAGAACTACAGGCGTAGACAATTATACCAGATAGCTACGGA